CCAATACATTTGTATCACAATGTAAAGATAATTTTGTTCACAATATGAGGAGCATTTATTCTGAAGAGGAAAAATAAATACCTGAATTTAAAATAGTGTAAAGGAATCCCTGTTCACACATACACCTTTAGATAGTATAGGAAATATCTCCCAAAAAAGCTTCCATAATGATTACCTTACATTATAGAAGCAATAAGTGTAATTTTTAAATTTTGCAAATAATGCATGAAACTTTTTTTATCAATATCAACCTGGCTAGACCTGAATGAGCCAACCTGGGATTAATAACACTTGGTTCGGATACATGCCACTATACACTATGCACATACGGCCAGGTAAAACATCATACATAATTCATGAGAGCATACAGGCATTTACGACAGTAGCAACATTTGATCAGGCCTGGCACAGAACATTGCTGTAGGTTTAATTGTCATACTGTGTACATAAACGACACACGGTACGTGGCTGATCACTTTTGTTCCATCTATTCTTAAGAAAATTACTTGGGATCTGTTCCCAATATGAAACTTTTTATCAAATATTACAGTACATTGATGTTTGTTACATATAAAACCATGGAATTAGATTAGGTGTTATCTAAGTCTGTGATAAAACCAAGTACATGCATTTGTGTTATGGTCAATTTTACAATTTAATGCTTGCAGTAGGCCTAGACAGAAACTTTTTTTTCTAAAAAGATGTAAAAGCAGTGCGTCATCAATCTAGGGAGATGGTAAAATAAGACTTGAAATCCATAGACACAGCATTACAAACAGGAAAACCCAAAATGTCTTCACAAGGATCCATATGGACTCATTTGAAATGTTCTTTTACTACCTGTAGCTGTCAAAATGCAATGTGAACATAGTGCAAATTTCCTACCTCCTTCACTAGACTTAGTTATTTTTTGAAACAAAACAACCTGTCATAAATGTTTTAACCTGGTAAAAGATTGTCAGAATTGATAACTAAGGGGAAAATAATCAAAAGGAATTCACCTTGGTGTTTATATTGGATTTATCATCTCATGATCAATGTACTGCCTCACCGACGTATCCCATCCCACCCTAGTCTGATTTATTCTGACGTTTTATTGACTTATCGACGACTTATGACTTGTCGTATCGACGACAGACCGATATGAAAAAAGTCGATAAATCGTCAGAATAATTCGGACTAATCCCACCCCTAACTCTCCCTGAAGAAAAAACAACATCTAAATACTAATCTCTACCTAACAAGACTGAGCTTATCCGGTATCTCAAGACTCCATGATATAACACAAGTGTAACATATTATAATGTTAAATTAAAGTCTGCTATATAAATCCTGAGGGGATAAAAGAAATAAATTTTAGGTGAAATATGTTGTATAAACCGTCACCATTTTCAGATGGATATGTTGTAAATGTTACATGACAAATACATTTCTTTCAAAAAGTTACATTTTACCGTTACATTACTGTACCAAATGAGCAGGACATTGAATCGTTAATTAATTTATGATGTGGAATGTCCACTTCAATTTGGATGTATAATTACCTTAATTGTTTAAAATTAACAGAAATCACCTGTAAAGGTAACCGATAGAGAGATTGAACAGAACTTTAATAAGCTCTCAATAAGTAAATACACAACACAATGGCGTGACATAAGCCATAATAATCCCACTGATAGGACGTTCAAACGGCCCATGCTTTCATTTTCGTCGGTTACCTCAACAGGTAGGCCTAACTACCGGTAAACTCATTCACAGCATGAAACACTAACATAAATTACAAATGCCGGTGGCAGGTTGATAAATACGAATCGTATCAGAGGTTACTTACATGTATGGCTGCCTTATCAGGAGAAAACCCGGTCCATTCGAGTCTTGTTTATTCTTGCCGCCTGGTATCCGCCATGTTGTAAACAACAAACTGACCTCGACATGGCTATAGTAACTCGGTCACGTGATCAAGCACATGCAAACTGACAGATGGCGCGGAAATCAAATCGATTAATGCACAATTTTCATTAAAACAAATAGACAACATTTTATCCAGATATATAGTTCATTCTGTGCATGTTGTTTTAATACCAATATTGCTTAAAATTAACTATCTAGCCTGCAAGTATAAAAGTCGTCTACGCAGAGATGTAATATATACGTCTCTGGTCTACGTCAATTAAAAAAAATGAATTAAAAATGTCATTAAATAATTAAATTATTTGTTGAGTATTTTATCAAAAGATAATATAATTTAGAGTAATATTTATGACATTATTCTACTCATTGTCTTCTTCTTCCATTTACTGCGGCAGATCTCATAGATATGAGTGCAGTTGCCGTTTTCTGTGGTGTATGGGTCCCAACATGTAGAGGCATACTCGATAGTCGGTCTCACTAGAGTGGTATATGGTTGTGATTTGACTTTCTTGGAGCATGATGACATATTGCATCTCAGGAAGCCCAGTGTTTTGTTAGCTTTACTTACAGTGGAGTGGATGTGTTTACCCCAACTGAGGTCATCCGTTAGAGTAACCCCCAAGTACTTGCTAGCTGGTAGGTTATCCAGCAGCGTGTTATGAAGCTGGTAACCGAACTTAACTGGGACTTTATTTTTGGTTACATTGATTATACAGCATTTGCTGGCATTGAAGTTCATTTGCCAGTCAGTCTCCCATTGTTCTAGCCTAGCAAGGTCTGGCTGGAGTTGTTTGCAGTCGTCCTCAGACATCATCTCCTTATAGAGTAGACAATCGTCTGCAAACAGTTTGACCTTGCAGGAGACTGACTGTACCAAGTCGTTTATATAAACGAAGAATAACAGTGGCCCAATGACCGTCCCCTGGGGTACCCCAGAAAGGACAGGGACCTTGTCAGATTTGGTCCCATTTAATAAAACAAGTTGGTCTCTGTTGTTTAGGAACGATCTAATCCAGGAATTTGTACTGTTTCGAATGCCAAAGAAGTGTAGTTTAGAAAGAAGACGTCCATGAGGGACCTTATCGAAAGCTTTAGAAAAGTCTAATAGGGCAATGTCTGTTTGTGATTTGTTGTTTATGTTCCTAAGGATGTCATCTACCGTTAGAATTAGTTGCGTTTCCGTAGAATGTTTGGATCGAAAGCCGTGTTGAAAGTTGGTGAGTATATTGTTGAGGTCTAAGTGATCCATGACATTGCTATGAATGATGTGTTCTAGTAATTTACAGGTGATACAAGTTAAAGAGACAGGACGATAATTTTCTGCAGCTTGTTTGTCACCTTTTTTAAAAACGGGGACAATGTGTGCCTCGCGCCAATCTTGCGGTACTGATCCAGAGTCTAATGATATTTGGAAGAGTTTTGTCAGTGCTGGTGTAACTTCTGCAGCAAGCTCTTTTAGTATTCTGGATGGAATGCTATCAGGTCCAGATGCCTCGTGTATTTCTAGTCGCTTCAGGAGCTTAAGGACACCTGGCTCACTAATTTTGATATCTGGCATAGATTTAAAACACTTTATCACCTGTAATCCAAGAAAACTAAATATATTATTGTGTCAATTACGCAATAATGCAATGATCACTTGATAGTTGATCCATCTTGTTCTTGTGGTGCATCTTGTGAAAATGCTGAACATTATTTCTTCTTCTGTCCACTTTATACTAACTATAGACATTTCATAACTGACATCACTAATCATTTTGGATATTCATCTGTTGATCTAGTAATGCTTATCTTTCTACTGATGATAATTTATTTATTCTCTCAAAAGTTCATCAATACATTTCTGATACTAACAGATTTAAGTAAAATTAGGACTGTTTTCATTGCCTCTTATTCTTTTTATATTTATTTATATGTATATATTAATATATATAGATATTTTTTTATTTTTTATAATTATATAATTAATAGGCTTTTGAGTAAGGGCCTGTGTGTGTGAATACTTATTTATTATGTGTGTATGTGAGTGTGTATGTGTGTAATGGAATGGCTGTAAGTGTACAGAGTGTGTCTTGTTGATCTATGTACTAAATCTATGCTTCTTGTCAATCAATACCGGATAGGAGAAGACTTATATAGGCTAAGCCTGCTGTCTCATCCAATTGTGCCATTATTTTATCCAATAAAATTTGTTGAAATCAAAATTGAAAACACTAATATCTATATTAACTAACGGAGATGAACTTTCTTGCTTCTCAATTAACCTGTGGTATCCCATTTAATGATCGTAAAAAGAAACTAATGATGACAAAGTTGGCCAAGATCTCGTTTTTTCAGGGCGTCAGATTATTTTTTTCACCTTTCCTGTTAGCTGGTTTTTTTTTATCATGCTTCAGTACACTTTGATTCCAAGGAGACGAACATGTCAGTCTGATATATGTTGATAATTTTGCGTGTGCACAGTCGAAGTCATAAATTTCATAAATTTTAATGAAAGTATATTGGCATGAAACGATTTAATATTCAAATGACCAATACTATTTGGCAAGTATGAGAATAAAAACTTACAATTCCTTTATATTTTATATCTTTGATACGTTCGTTCACCTGAACGTGGTAGATCTATTAAATGGAAAGTCAATCACTTTTGCTATCATATAGTATGTAAGAAAAATTAAAAAAAAAAGTTAGTTTTAACATGTCGATTAGGAAGTAGAGCGACGTTAACCGGCACAATGACTTTGCTTAAATGTTACACTGCAATTTATGTTGTATGACCACGGACTTAGATATCTTTGATATCCAGGGTTAAGCACAGGGCAACCCCCTGATCTGGGGTTAAAAGAAAATCATTCTGGGTCATAGGAACGTATCAAGTCCCTGTGGTGTTAAGGAAAATTGGGGGGAGATAGAGAAAATATAAAAGAAAAAAATATTACCGTCCCCGGGTGGGCTTGAACCACCAACCTTTCGGTTAACAGCCGAACGCGCTAACCAATTGCGCCACGGAGACGTTACACACAATGCCACATATGCTAAGATCAAGAAGCTAGAACAAGATAATTTCGTCCAAACTTCCGGTTGTAAGTGTTTTCTTCATTTCACGGATTGCTCTATCATGACGAGAAAACAAGCGTTGTCCTTGTCATAATGCTGAAAGATGAATCAGATAGCTGCAATTATCTTCTGTCAATTTGACCCAGTTGCCGGACCTAAGATAAGTTGTCAGGTAGGCATTTTTCACTGACAGTGCCAGTGGCTAGATGCATCTCTCAAATGCTGGTATCGTAACTTGACGTAAGGACCTACATAAGTCGTTGACTAGGTTTTATGTGTTTATTTCTTTACTGCACTAGGTCTATGTGAGTTAACAGAATACAGATATTTACTCTTATCGTGTGTAGTATTGTGTTACTGACGTGGAATATCGAATGGAAGATTTATAACGTGCCGAAATGTTATTCTTCATAAGGCCTTTTGTGCAATTAGACGACATTAAAATTCCATTTACAGTGAAAATATTACCCTTCATATGTTAACACACAGCTAGATAGATGTATTTATGCATGACATTTTTGAGATAAAGATTATGTGGCTGTCACATGTCTAAAAATTGTTGTAGATTCACAATTTTGTTAATTTTAGTGTGTTCAGGGGGAATAACTCTGTCAAGGGAGCTTTCCAAAATATGCATTTCAAGAAAAGGTTCCAGCTTGGCAAGAAAGTTATTTTCACCACATTGGGTGAAGATTCCCCTGTGTTGAGGATGGTAAATAATTATAACATATCAGAATATTTACAGTTCACATGTAAACAATTTATAAACTAGCCTGAGTTTCCGCTGGCCCTTTAGCTAGCCTACACCGGACTTAGACATTTTGACAGATTGATGTCTGGTGTGGGGCCCCCAACTGAATACTAAATTAAAGCAATATATTTGTAACACTTTCCTTCTTTTACCTAGGTGCCACCAGACTACATTAGCAGTAAAGGTTTTGATTCTATACACAACTACATCATCACCAAACCCGAGCTCCAGGGCAGACTCATCACAGTGTAAGCTTCATATTCAAGTATCTACCTAGGTAGATTTAATACATTAACTTAACAGACGTTTGTCAATGTTCTGACTAGTAAAAGTTTTCTCTGCCTCTATATCTTTCTTATCAGTTATAATAGTGGCAAAGTCAATGTTTTATTAAAAATTCTCATATATTAACTTAACCGGGCAATGTAATCTGATCTAGTGACTTTAATAAAGTCTGAAGTTGTTTAATTAACACAAAAATGGTTGACGCCACAAGGAACATAGCTATCGTGGTTTAATTTTCCAAAGCTATAATATAGAGGCTAATAATTGTTTTCAGCGGGATTTGAAACACAAATATTTTGATGGACTTTTCCCTATCTGTTTGTAGGACAGCATTAGACCATATTATCCTTGGTTGCCCTGTTGTCATTGACAACCCAAAGTATGCCAGAAATGCCCTCATCTTCAACTTGTGTTTTGTGTTTGACAAAGCGATGGACACATCTAACTATGAGCCCGTCGTTAAGAAATTGGCTGCCTACCTCACACAGCTGGAGGTAAGCCATACCATAGAGATTATACTGTTTTAAAAGTTTAAGACTAGATACTGAAGACCTGAAATGAAGTTTTAGATGTAAAGTATACAGAAATTTACTCATCAGTGCTTTTTGCTGAGGGGATTATGTGCTTATTAAGTTTTGGGTGGAAGGAATAGTTCCCTCTGCAGAAGGCAATAATGGATTAAGTATATCGTACTTATTACCTAAGAAACTTGTAGTGACAATTTGTGTGATGCACTAGCAGTGAGTCAAAATGAAGCAAACTTTGTCCCACTCACATCACACACCAAGAATATGTCTCACCCCTAGCAATGTAACAGCAAAATCCAGGCAGGGACTATCATTTCATTATTCTAGTGTGGTTATCCAATCAGTATCCGTGATTTGTCATGTGGAGTACTGAAATGGAAAAAGCTTACTGTTAATAGATGTACATGTCTAGCATACTGGGGTTTTAGGTTTACAGCATATTTCATTCAACACACAGCTTTACAATCTAATCTGTTGGTCCATTTTAATTATTTAAGGTGTACGCATGTTCGCTGGACTTATACCAGTTTTCACAGTTCCATTGTAGCCTTCAGAAACACAGGTTTAGGGACATGTACATAGGGATTGTTTCATGATTACATCAGCTGTCCTCTGATAAATGTCATCTACTTTACCATTACATTCCTCATCTATACTTATGGTAGACAGTTTGAAATTACGTTACAATAACCTTTTTTGGTATTATTACATTTTATTCTTAATCCATCAAATTTGGATTGAATATTTGAAAAAGGATGTCTGATAAAAATTTCCTGAACAAAAAATGATCAAGATTTATATTCCCATATGTGTTTTAGATGGAGAATGGTCTCTTGTCAGATGATCAAAGTAAGGAACGTCTACCATCTTTTCTTGCGGAACTGCTGTCCTGTCTGAATAATGATGGCACCTGCAGTATACCTATGGGTAAGATGATGCATAGACAGTTCAAAGTTTCATATGACATTTTGTTTACAAGCGTAACAGGAGATGAAAAAATGCAAGGCCAGACGGGGTTCGAGCCCGGGCCCCCCCCCAAACTCTAGACAGACGCTCTACCAGTTGAGCTATCTAGTCGCCGACGATTGACCCAATCTAGTTCTGCTACACCAGTACATGTATCAGCTAGACAATAAAAGGTGTGTGAACCTTATTGCAGAGGAATCGCATCCACTAAAAGGTTCTTATATGAATGTATATAAAGGCAGATAAGTGTATTATATTGTATCCTGTTTGTTTTTATTCCATTACAGGTGAGTTGTTCACTGTACATGTTATGTTTATACCTGTTATTTTGTCTACCTGTACATAAGAGTTGTGTTCAGTACATATGTACATCTGAAATATGTTAGGTCTGTTGTATTGCCACACCGGTGAATGATGAAGGTAAATCTGAAGCTTATTGCATGTTATTTTGTTACCTGTACAGGTGAGTCATGTACAGTACATCTTGTTACCTGTTATTTTGTTACCTGTTACAGGTGAGTCATGTACAATACATCTTGTTACCTGTTACATGTGAGTCATGTACGGTACATCTTGTTACCTGTTATTTTGTTACCTGTTACATGTGAGTCATGTACGGTACATCTTGTTACCTGTTATTTTGTTACCAGCACAGGTGAGTCATGTACGGTACATCTTGGGACCTGTTAGTTTGTTACCTGTACAGGTGAGTCATGTGCGGTACATCTTGTTACCTGTTATTTTGTTACCTGTACAGGTGAGTCATGTACGGTACATCTTGTTACCTGTTATTTTGTATACCTGTACAGGTGAGTCGTGTATGGTACATCTTGTTACCTGTACAGGTGATTCTGGTATGGTACATCTTGTTACCTGTTATTTTGTTACCTGTACAGGTGAGTCGTGTACGGTACATCTGAAGGTTCCTCCTATCATACAAGACCCACCCAACATACAGGACCATGATGTACCCATCATTATAAAGGACAAGCACCTGCTCAACCTGGCCTCCTTGGACCTCACAACTCAACAGGTAGGAGTTACCTCTCACAACATAATATGTACCAGGTAGATCACACTCTGATCTTGTCTATAGCATTCTGGGACTTTTGGCACTTCAATCTCTCAAATCTGTTTTTTTCTTTTATAAGATAAGTGGACACAGGTCCTTGCTCACTACATTGTCTTGCAAGTTTGTCACCTTCACTTCCATATACGTCATTGAAGGTTTAACTCAAAATGGCGCTGTGAATTTTGAATTTGAAATGATCATTATCTTTTTATTATGACATTTATTGGGAATGTTTTAATGAATACAAAAGTCAGTATACAAACTTACCAGTAATCTCATGATATATTGTTTCATATTCCATTTGTAAAAAAAATCATATAAGCGGGAGAATTAAATTGCAATGATAAGATGCAAAAATCATGGAGAAATATTACCAGAAACTTTGATTGATTTTCACAATCAGGTATTGATGTACATTGACGGCTTTCACCACGTGGCCAGAATTGAAGCAGAGGCAGATGTAGAGAGGAACCTGGTGAAGGCGTGTATACAGAACTTATTGTGAGTGTCAATGTATCATACAGAGAAACAGAAACTCTAACTCCTTACTGGGATGTACTAGTGTGTCCTACAGAAAAACAGAATCCCTAAATCCTTACTGGGAAGTACTAGTGTGTCCTACAGAGAAATAGAATCTCTAACTCCTTAGTGGGAAGTACTTGTGTGTCCTACAGAGTAACAGAATCTCTAAATCCTTACTTGGATGTAAAAGTGTGTCCTACAGAGAAATATAATCTCTAACTCCTTACTGGGAAGTACTTGTGTCCTACAGAGTAATAGAATCTCTGAATCCTACTGGGATGTACAAGTGTGTCATACAGATAAATATAATCTCTAACTCCTTACTGGGAAGTACTAGTGTGTCCTACAGAGAAACAGAATCTCTAACTCCTTACTCAGATGTACTAGTGTGTCATACAGAGAAACAGAATATCTAAATCCTTACTGGCATGTACAAGTGTGTCATACAGAGAAATAGAATCTCTAACTCCTTACTCAGATGTTGTGTGTCATACAGAGAAATAGAATCTCTAACTCCTTACTGGGAAGTACTAGTGTGTCATACAGAGAAACAGAATATCTTACTCCTTACTCAAATATACTAGTGTGTCATACAGAGAAATAGAATATCTAAATCCTTACTGGGATGTACTAGTGTGTCATACAGAGAAATAGAATCTCTCACTCCTTACTCAGATGTAGTGTGTCATACAGAGAAATAGAATATTGAACTCCTTACCTTGATGTACTAGTGTGTCATACAGAGAAATAGAATCTCTTAACTCCTTACTGGGAGGTACTAGTGTGTCATACAGAGAAAAAGAATCTCTCACTCCTTATTCAGATGTACTAGTGTGTCATACAGAAATAGAATCTCTAACTCTTTCCTGGGATGAACTAGTATGTCATACAGAGAAATAGAATATCTAACTCCTTACTTGGATGTACTTGTGTATCATACAGAGAAAGAGAATCTATAACTCCTGACTGGGAGGTACTAGTGTATTATAGAGAGAAATATAATCTCTTACTCTTGATGTAATGGTTTATCATACAGAGAGATTAAATATTTTGATCCTTGCTGTTATTGTACTAGGGCATCATACAGAGAAAATAGCTCTTACTTCTCAACACTTTTTTTAGATTGGTAAGTAGGGATTGAAGAAATGTTCATGTAGCACAACCAGTGAAGTGTGTATGTGTGACGTTTTAATGACTTGTACAATATGTACCTGGTCACCTTTATCAGGCAAATGACCAGTGAAGCATCTTTGTGTACATGTACTGGTCATTTTTCTGATGAAGAATGAAAGAGTACATACTGTAATACTCATTGAAAGGTCACATTTAAACACTTACTGGTTGTGCTAGATGAATCTTTCTGCAATAGAATCTCTTACTCCTTACTATGACATACATATACTAGTGTGTCATACAAAAGAAGAGATGTCATGTCACATAACTCTCCAAGGTCAGTGTCCTAAAGGTCAATTTCAAAACAGTGGTTGAAATGTTAGATTATATCTTAAGTGTGAAATTGTATCACCTTAGCCAAAAAGGTAACATTCATGGCAAGTGGCTAAAAGTCCAATGATTATTAGGTACAAAGTAAAGGTTTAGACATCTTCTGTCCTATGATAATGTCACAGCATTTCATTATACATGGTACGCACAGCTTGTAAATGGAATGTGCGAGGGGTTTACCTTATTGAGCAATAGGTCACATAATGTCTATTTTGTTTCAGAGTTCGCTGTTAGCAATTCTGAGCAACATCATATTTTTAAATGTCTCAATTCAAAATGGCAATTCCTGTGAAGGTATTTTTTGTTCAATATTTCAGACATTACAAGATCATCAAGATCATCTCCATTTTCCAGGTAAGAATTCAGTGTAACACCTCTCTATACACACACATACCCAAGATCTGTAATCTAACTCTCATATATTAATTATCAAAGTGAATATTTTCAGTTTCAACCTTTTGTCTACTTATGACTTTGTTCCCAGAAAAATTAACTTTTGATTGAAAAAGGACAAACTGTCCCCCAAAACACTGGGTAAATTAATACCTTATACCTGTATGTTGTCTGATACCTGTATGTTGTCTGATACCTGTATGTGCCTATTTAATACCTGTATGTGCCTGTTTGATACCTGTATATGCCTATCTGATACTTGTATGTACCTATCTGATACTTGTATGTACCTGTCTAATACCTGTATATACCTGTTTGATACCTGTATATGCCTATCGGATACCTGTATGTGCCTATCTGATACTTGTATGTACCTGCTTGATACCAGTATGTGCTTTTGTGATACCTGTATGTATGTTTGATACCTGTATGTACCTGTCTTATACCGATATGTACCTGTGTAATATTTGTATGTACTTTTCTAATAGCTGTATGCATCTAATACTGGTATATAACTTTACCTGTCTAATAGTATTATACCTGTATCTATCAAATACCTGTATACATATCTGTCAAATACCTGCATGTACCTGTCTAATACCTGTATACATATCTGTCAAATACCTGTACTACTGTTGTAGTACTCCAACATGTATACAGTCACACCTGAGATTCCAAAGCTGGTAGAAGATCGCCTCTTACAGGAGGAGTGTGTCCGCTTTGTGGCCAGGAAAGGTAAACTAGTGTACAACTTAAGGGTGTATGCTTGATAACTAATGTCCTGTTTCTCCTTCACAAAAGAGTTCCATATTAAAAAATGTTAAAACATGTTTTATCAATGCCAACTTCTTATTTCACAGTAGATATACATCGACAATCATGGATAGGAAGGGAGAATTAATGTGGTCTGTTCATAGAAATACTGATAAAAGGTTGTCACTATAAAACTATTGTTATTGGCAAATTTTAAACTTTGAAGAATGCTATTTTACACATGTGTTGACATAATTTCTGGTAAGTGTGACTTTGAAGTATTTTTACTGACCTTTAAATGGATGGTGACTTGATTTTGATGTAGCGGGTGATTACCCAAACTTCCGTGATGTATTCCTGCTGTACTCTGGGTTGACTGTTGGAACTACAGTGAAGGACCTCTGCTGCAGGTACAATCCTCATGCCATGAAAATTGATGAAAAGTAAGTGTCCTCGACCTGTCCAAGTCATCTATAGGATTTTAATATTATTCAAACCTTTATTTAATTGTAGATTTGGGTATAAATACGAGACCATTTTGCGGTGGATCACTAGATTGGGTTTCAGATAAATTGATATTATTCATTTAGGTTGGTCCTTGGTAAAACTTGTCTTTGTTTTTAGTTTTGCCCACAATTAGTATTGTAGGTGTATATTAATCACTTTGTCAGTTCATGCATCTGTCTGTAATACAAAGCGTGTGACTATATATCTCGGGAACAGGTTTAGTTTATATGTACACAATAAGCAGTGCTATATACATCACTTCTGATTACAGAAAGCTGGTCCAGTTTGGACTGATCAAAGGGTTTATACGAAGACTGCATAAGTTTCCAGTATATTTGCCAACAGAAGGTGAATCTGTTGTAACAGGAAGCCAACTCCAGGGGCTGTACAGTCTCTGTACAGGGTTACACAGCTATGACGAAATCTGTACCAAACTAGGTAGGTCCTGTTTTACCTAAACTACATGCAAGTGAATGGCTTTAATGCGAGAAATTAAACATTTTAGATACCTTTCAGAAACTGACCAATAGTAAATGTTTGAAGTTTCTAAACCATAATCTTAAAACTTGTATTAGCTCACTTGGCCCAGATGACTTCGTGCATTTATGCAGCTATAAGATCTGTTGTGTTTCCATCATCCATTTTTCATTAATAAGACTACTTGTTCAGAACTACTGAATTGATTTCGACTATATGATATGGAGCATTTCTTGGCCAAGAAAACAAAGAACTTGCTAAAGTTTGTATTCTTTTTAAAATTGAAAATCAACTGACTCAAGTAAGATAAATATGATAAATAACAGCGACTGGTCTATGTAACAGACTGAAACAATAATACATGTACACACCAAGACACTGAGTCAATTACATATATAATGTGTTGCAGGCATTACCTACCAAACACTTGATGACAAGATAGACAACGATCCCAACGTAGTTCTGTGCTGGAAGTGACAACGTTTCACGGAGATTGTGACTGTACTGTCAAGGACCACCATACAAAGCTTTGATCTGTGACCACGGTTGATGGTGCAAAGAAATCAGTCCAGATTTTCAGCTCAGGAATGGATTTTTTTAAAGCGGCCTTAGAAATTGTTAGGGATGCAGTGATGATGAGGTGTATGTTGTGGTCAGTTGGCCACAAAACAGTGCAGTCAGTACATAATCTATAAATAGAAGTCAAATTAAGGTGATAAATTCTATCACATGAGAACAGATTATTGAAGGATTCGGTCATTTCCAGTTTATATGGACTATGTGGATATTAGCTTGACACTCTTTACAGGATTTAAAGTGCTGTATTGTACTTTTATTTCATAAATGTTTACAAGTGTCTGGATTCCAAATGAAACTTACAGGTGCTGTCTCTGGAATTATTGGCGAAAGTAACTTTATATTACTAAAGCAAATTTGCTTAAATACCCAGTATGGTTAACTGGGTTTCACAGATTTCACAGACATATACCGAATTTGAATCCCCCAACCCCACCAGCCCCATTTTATTTTTTCTATACCTAGAGAGGAAGTACCCTTTTACACATCATATTTATATTCAATAATACCATGCTATAACATGTAGTATGATATTATAATGTTCTCCGGGCCGTTGTGGTAATCATGTTTTACTGAACCAATATTTAAGTTACTTTGTTATTTATGTTGATAGGTATGATTGATTTATCTTGATACACATATAATTGATGTATTATATGAAACTTCTACTGTTTATTTAATTGATGGATTTCTGTTTGTAAAACCAGAAGTATTATACCATATACAATTAATGACTGCACAATTTGAATGAAGGGTTTCATACTTGCCAACCATCCCCTCCCTATTTAGGAGGGAGACTCCCGAATTTGGACCTTTTAAATTTGATTCATTCCTATATTCTAAGATGCAATAATAGAAAATAGCTGGAATTTTTAAGAGATTTTTTTCCCTAGAGGGTTTATACAAACATTTTATTCATGTTTTAATATTGAACATGGAGAATCTCCCCATGAAAATTTCAAAAGGTTGGCAATTATGGGCCATTTCATACCTGTACAAGCCAGTGGACTGCCAATGTTTGTGTCAGCAAAACAGTTTGTATGCAGAAAACCCAGAAAGAAAGTACAAGTGAACATTGCATGTGATATAATATTTAAGTTAAGTCAGAATACTGTTACCAGATAGCTCTGTTTGTTAGAGCATCAATAGCTACCACTGATCATGTACCAGATACGTTTAAAGTACAAAACAGAGCTTGCAGCCGATGCAAGACAGTAAATACATTTTGTATATTATCTTGTTAAGTTGAATTTTACAATACAATAATACATGTATGTGTGAAATACAAATGATGAATAAATTGATTGCAATGCAAACAATGTTTTTGTATTTTATTTGAAAAAACATTCAAGAACTGAATTGAGACCAATAATTTAATTATAAACGGAGTCTTGTATAACATATAGAAGCTGACAACACACACAGAAGTCACATTAGTTTAACGATTCAACATGGTTCAATAACTATATCAGATCAGATTTTACATATACAATTCTCTAGCCTTGTGCGAGTATCCTAGAAGAACTTTTATTCAGGATCTGATATATATCAATTAGATTGTTGTGAAGGACTATATATAGTTCCAAAATCCATCAAAATTAAAATTCTTCAATAGAACTTTCAAATGACTGTTTCTTTAATTTTGAATACTTCCCTGGTACTATCATGCAAACATTTATTTGTGTTTTCAATTATGGCTGCCATGGTAACCAGTTAATATTTGCATAAATTAATGAAATTTGAATATTCAGTCAATTTTGACAGGTTTTCGCCTAGTTTTTCTCTTAACTACCATAGAGCGCACTCTTGAACAAACTTGATATTTCTCCTAAAGATGTATTTCACATGCCTAAACATTATCCTTTGATATTAAGTTTGTTCAAGCATGTGCTCTCTAGTTTCCAGGAGTAAAACTATGCAAAATTTGACAATATTCACTGAAATTTGAAGTTGTTACCATGATTACAATAATTAGAAATACAAACAAATATTTTCATGATATTATTTTGGAAGTATTCAAAACTAAAGAAACAGTCGTTTGAAAGTTTATTTAAAGGTTTTGAATTGTGATGCATTTGGGGGCCAAAACAGGCCCAAACCATACATAGTCCTTTGGTGACTAGGAGGAAACTCGATTATACAACTGTTGTCAACTTGTAGACAACACTAGAATTGACTGCTGTAAACATATTGGCCATTCATATCTCTGTGCATTTATGACAATTTTCAAGTTACATGCAATAGCTAGCAACAAAATGCACAAATACATTCAATTTATATTTACCGAGTATTCTACCGTGAGGGTATTTTACCGCTCTCCAAAAAAGTGAGATATCTTTGTAGGTTTCAGTTATGCTTATTTTTACAATTCCCTTATCAAACTATATATCTACTCACGAGGTACTTTGAATTTGTGAATTGTTATCCACGTAGAAAATTCAAGGAAATTAATTCCTCTTCAAAAATTAACACTACAAAGTGAAGTCTACTGAATTTAGTTACCTTTGTTCCCAGCTATGTAACAGAAATGTGAAATGGATGGACTAGTGGCACACTCAAATTATGAACAGTAAGAGGATAATTATTTTCCATCCATCCCCCTGAACATTGGCTGCATATACATGTACTTGGAAGAAAAACAATTGGATTATTGATGGTTAGATTAATGAAACACGACTTTATAGAAATATATTCAAATTAATCTCTCCAAACCACTTGATGCATAGTAACACTGAACTATCAGATTAAAGGTTGCTGTATAGATAATTTTTTCATCAAATGACAGCAAAGTTAAAGTTACTACGAATGGCTATCAGTCGATACAACTGACTGCAACTGTCTCTATGTTATCAGACCAGACACAAGAAGGGACTGTTATGTTTTATGCAGCATTTGATGTATGTACCGTGCCTGGTTGTCCATGACAACCTGAAGGTATTGCTGGGTCTGTGTGTTGGTACCCCAGGGCTGGTACCCGGGGGTCGGATAACCGGGAAACATTGGATAGCACCCGTAGGGAGGGTAAGGGTAGTAATAGGGCGGGACTGAGACAGGATAGGGATAACCCCAGGTGTTCCACTGTGTATATTGTGGTGGAAATTCTGACACTTTAGGATTCTCATAACATGTGTCATAGTCTGCATATTCCTCTTCATCGTCGTCACTATGCTCTACACATTCATCCCACTCCGTCTGATTTCTGTATCCTTCTTCCTGTAGAAACTCCTCGTAACGATCCTCCTCTACCGGGCCATCCTCCTCTACCTGTGTCCGCTCGTCGTCCGAGTCCTCTCCTGATGAGCCACTGTCAGACGATGAGTCAGTTTCTGATATATCCGATTCATCCTCTATCTCTCCACTTTCTTTTTTCAACTTTCTGTCAGTCTCTAAGGATTTCCTCAAAAATTTGAAAATTTTCTCTTCCAGTTGATCTTTGCTACACTTTTCATGAATCAAAATCTTTTTCATTACATTAGCAATGGCAGTCATTAATGCTTGGGAGGGCTCCAGCATATCATCTGCTGGAATGTTAAGAGATTCACTAGGATTCCTAGCAATGGATGTCTTTCTGATGTCACTGGCTTTGGTAACAGATTTCGTTTCACGGATATTTGATGGTTTTTCCCGGTCTTTAATACTGTATTGATTAGCATGTTGTAAACCTGTGCTTTGTGAGGGTCCATCATGTGAACGAGGTCTGGAAACGGACTTTGAGATAGATGATCCATAATAGCAAGTTGACAGTTGTTTCCGGGCAGTATCGATGTCCTTAACTTTTTGTTTCTGGGCTGTATAGCTGTCCTGGACTAGTTGTTCTGATGATGAATGAAGACTTCTTTCATTCACTGGTATCAACAAACCACTGTCACATTGTTGGACAATAAGGTCCCTTTTATCAGATAAGTTCCGTTTCTGTGCCTCTGTGTAAGAAACTTCCACTGATAATGGTTGCAACTTGAATTCCTTCCCTGTCACACTATTGCTTACATCAGAAGGCGTAACGCCTTCAGAGGGAGTTGTTAAGGTGGAACTTTTGGAACTTTGAAGAACAAGAGATATTTTCCGAAGCAAATCCTGTTTAGCTGTTGGATCAACAAAACGCCGGGCAGCGGAGGTGACCTTGACCTTGAACTGTCTGTTGTTGGTGTCCACAGTATTGTCTTTATCATGGCTATTCTTGTGATGCTCCAAGTCTAATTTAGCACTCTCATAGGTATGAGGTTTACCAACAGGGTTGTAACATACAGAACTCTTAAAAGAGGGAATCTGAAGAGGAAGACTAGAAGAAACAATATCACTGCCATCTGATGGAACAGATGGAGAATCCTTATCATAATTTTCACCAACAAAACATTTCAAAGTTTGATTTTGTGTTTTCACATCAGCAGAATCGTTTTCACACCTCACAAGTGTTGCGTTTTGTACTGTCTGTTCCAATGAATTGTAATTTATCCCTTCAGTCATTTTCTGAGTTGCCTCCACGTTCCTTGCTATATTTAGATCAGATTCGGTACTATTCACTGTCTCTGTGAGGTTACTGGTATGCCCATTGAGAGTGCCGGAGTCATCTTTCCGTTCATCAGCAGACGACAGAATGTCTTCAATCACCTCTGACTGATCATCTTGAAGGGTAGTTTGATCTGATTTTTGTTCAAGTGATGAATCTTTCTGTTGTTTATTTTTGTTTCGCCTGTTACGACTTTTCTTTTTAAGGAAGGTGTCTCTATTTTTTGGTGAAGTAATGATCTGTTTGGACGAGACCACATCATCAATGGTAATCTTACATTCAGACTTCGGTAGGTCTTCTGGTATGGGGTCTGAAAACAGCAAATATTATACAGTTACATATTATCTATGAACCAGCAAATCTAATACAATTATACCAGGCATGTCAGAATTTCTTTTATTCTCCTAGTATGGGATCTTTTCTAAAGCAATACAATAATATACAGAGGAGGTTTTGATGAGCCAGACAACTTTGTTTCTACCGAAAGTGATTGAAAAGTGAGACAGACTACAAACTAAGACAATTTTGTATAGAAAGACACATTAATATGTCCCTAAAACACTAGCTAGATGGTGGGACAACAAGATTGGTGGAGGGTGGATAAATGAGGCTTGACTGTAAAGGATTTGTATTCACTGGCAGTCTGGATCACACTTTTGTGATTATTCAGGGATTTCATAATGTCTTGGATTTTCTATTCTCAGAGTTGTCGAAAAGAAAAGAGTGAGGTAAAACATATTGCAAGATACTTCAGTACTTATACATGAACAGATCTTTCCTTATAACACAAGACTTAACAATCTGGCCCATCTCAACCCTGACTTCAGTATACCAGTGAACAAACCTACCATCAGCCTTGAAATTCCAGAGGTTACACTCACTTTCATTCTCTTCACCTCTGGAAGGTGTCAGGACAAAATTGATGTTACTTGACTGGTTTTGCGTAAAAGGAACTGACCAATCCTAGGCTAATACCTGTCCTTCGAAGATTTCAAAGGAGCGACACCCAACTTCAAAGCCGGTCAATTTTACCACTATGCTGTTCGATAGCATTATGACATATTCGGGTGTAGACAACATAAGAGAATGTAATCAGTGGAATTTTGAGGATGATTAACCATGTAATGCAAGACATTTCTCTTGACCTACCAGGTAGTGGTGTGATGTGAGTGTTACATTTCCCCTCTACAGACTGAAGGTCAAGCTCCTCCTGACCTTGGCTGATGATGGTGATGGCAGCTCCAAATGTTCCTGTGGAAATTACATTAATTTCTATAAATACTGTAAAAGTACAAATGTTCGCATTGCTTCTGGGATACATTTACCAAGGTATATACTATATATATAATCTATATCCTGTGTGGATACCAAGGTATATAATATATATGTAATCTATATCCTGTGTGGATACCAAGGTATATAATATATATGTAATCTATATCCTGTGTGGATACCAAGGTATATAATATATATGTAATCTATATCCTGTGTGGATACCAAGGTATATAATATATATGTAATCTATATCCTGTGTGGATACCAAGGTATATAATATATATGTAATCTATATCCTGTGTGGATACCAAGGTATATAATATATATGTAATCTATATCCTGTGTGGATACCAAGGTATATAATATATATGTAATCTATATCCTGTGTGGATACCAAGGTATATAATATATATGTAATCTATATCCTGTGTGGATACCAAGGTATATAATATATATGTAATCTATATCCTGTGTGGATACCAAGGTATATAATATATATGTAATCTATATCCTGTGTGGATACCAAGGTATATAATATATATGTAATCTATATCCTGTGTGGATACCAAGGTATATAATATATATGTAATCTATATCCTGTGTGGATACCAAGGTATATAATATATATGTAATCTATATCCTGTGTGGATACCAAGGTATATAATATATATGTAATCTATATCCTGTGTGGATACCAAGGTATATAATATATATGTAATCTATATCCTGTGTGGATACCAAGGTATATAATATATATGTAATCTATATCCTGTGTGGATACCAAGGTATATAATATATATGTAATCTATATCCTGTGTGGATACCAAGGTATATAATATATATGTAATCTATATCCTGTGTGGATACCAAGGTATATAATATATATGTAATCTATATCCTGTGTGGATACCAAGGTATATAATATATATGTAATCTATATCCTGTGTGGATACCAAGGTATATAATATATATGTAATCTATATCCTGTGTGGATACCAAGGTATATAATATATATGTAATCTATATCCTGTGTGGATACCAAGGTATATAATATATATGTAATCTATATCCTGTGTGGATACCAAGGTATATAATATATATGTAATCTATATCCTGTGTGGATACCAAGGTATATAATATATATGTAATCTATATCCTGTGTGGATACCAAGGTATATAATATATATGTAATCTATATCCTGTGTGGATACCAAGGTATATAATATATATGTAATCTATATCCTGTGTGGATACCAAGGTATATAATATATATGTAATCTATATCCTGTGTGGATACCAAGGTATATAATATATATGTAATCTATATCCTGTGTGGATACCAAGGTATATAATATATATGTAATCTATATCCTGTGTGGATACCAAGGTATATAATATATATGTAATCTATATCCTGTGTGGATACCAAGGTATATAATATATATGTAATCTATATCCTGTGTGGATACCAAGGTATATAATATATATGTAATCTATATCCTGTGTGGATACCAAGGTATATAATATATATGTAATCTATATCCTGTGTGGATACCAAGGTATATAATATATATGTAATCTATATCCTGTGTGGATACCAAGGTATATAATATATATGTAATCTATATCCTGTGTGGATACCAAGGTATATAATATATATGTAATCTATATCCTGTGTGGATACCAAGGTATATAATATATATGTAATCTTTATCCTGTGTGGATACCAAGGTATATAATATATATGTAATCTATATCCTGTGTGGATACCAAGGTATATAATATATATGTAATCTATATCCAGTGTGGATATTTTGCGCTTATTTACTCAAGACGCCACAAGAAACATAAGCTCCGATAATTTCCACTTTTACAGAAGTGCAGTTTCAATTTTGATGGATCTGTACTGTATTAATATTATTTATTATTTATAATGTATGATGTATGATTCCAATTCTTTAAAGGTGAAACACCCATTAAACAGGCTTGTGATAAATGTTCATCAATTCTAAATCTTACTGTTGTACTATTTCACTGTAATTGTACTATTTTGAGTGTTGTATTATTTCACATTAATACTACTATCTTGACTGTCTTATTATTTCATGATAATCCTACTATTTTTACTTCTACTATTTCGTCTTTGCGTATTGCAGAGTTATCTTCTCTTGGGAGCAGGGATTGATTGTTACGTCACTGGTTTGTGTGAGAAAATTACGCCGTTTTCTCAAAAATTGATGACGTTACTCTCACAAACAAGTGTCAATACCTGCTCCCAAGAGAAGATAACTCTGCAATATGCAAAAACGGAATTTCATGGTAATTCTACTATTTTGACTGTTCTACTATTTCATGGTAATTCTACTATTTTGACTGTTCTAATATTTCACAGTAATTGTACTATATTGAGTGTAGTAATATTTCACTGTAATTTTTCTATTTTAACTGTTGTATAAAAATACAACTAATTCTACTATTTTTACTGTTCTACTATTTCACTGTAATTTACTATGGCTACATTCGCGTATCCCGGTTGAAACGGTATGTGTGGTGCAGAAATTTTCCACGATTAACGAACACACTTGGACCGTTCTATAAGCAAAGCTAAAAATGCACAGTTTCGGAGAATAAAAAACAATGTATCAAGAGTAGTATGCCCTTCTCTCACGCGTCCACTAAATGACATAACGTATCTTAAAAATTACATGTGACTTGACATTGTTTAAGAAAGAAATAACGCAAATTGGCAATAGTCAGCATTTTAGTTTCTGTCAGGTACGTCTGGACCCCTCAATCTACATGTACCAAATTTTCCTGAGGTCAGCCTCGGTCCAAATCTGTACTGCCGTTTTCTTGACAGGTTCAACCGGTTCAACAGTTTCAACCGGATACGCGAATGTAGCCTATATTTTTACTGTTCTACTATTTCACTGTAATTTACTATATTTTGACTGTTCTACTATTTCATGGTAATTCTACTATTTCATGGTAATTCTACTTTTTTGAGTGTTCTACTATTTCACTGTAATCATCCTATTTTTAGTGATGTACTATTTCACTGTTATTCTACTTTTTTTTACTGTTCTACTATTTCACTGTAATTTACTATATTATGACTGTTCTACTATTTCATGGTAATTCTACTTTTTTGAGTGATCTACTATTTCACTGTTATCTTCCTATTTTTTGTGATTTACTATTTCACTGTAATGCTACTATTTTTACTGTTCTACTATTTCACTGTAATTTACTATATTTTAACTGTTCTACTATTTCACTGTAATTTACTATATTTTTACTGTTCTACTATTTCACTGTAATTTACTATATTTTTACTGTTCTACTATTTCACTGTAATTTACTATATTTTGACTGTTCTACTATTTCATGGTAATTCTACTTTTTTGAGTGCTCTACTATTTCACTGTAATTTACTATATTTTTACTGTTCTACTATTTCACTGTAATTTACTATATTTTTACTGTTCTACTATTTCACTGCAATTTACTATATTTTTACTGTTCTACTATTTCATGGTAATTCTACTTTTTTGAGTGTTCTACTATTTCACTGTAATCGTCCTATTTTTAGTGATGTATTATTTCACTGTAATTCTACTACTTTTACTGTTCTAGTATTTCACTGTTATTCTACCATTTTGACTTCTACTATTCAAATGTACTATTTCATTGTATGACCTTATGTTCTATGGGTTAGCATTTGTTACTATGACAAAGTATGGGCTAAAATGTATAGCGCAGTCTTACCAAACCGCCCTGCTCGGCCAATCCTATGGAGATACGTCTCATGGTCCTTTGGGATGTCCAGGTTTATCACTAAGTCTACCTTGTCAGCATCAATTCCTCGTGAGGTCTGGAGAGACAAATTTACATGAATGACAAAGATGGAAACCATTTCAAATTTGTTTAAACTTACTAAGGATTGCTAATAACTAACACCAATGTATCTGAGCTTTTAGTAGACCCTTGATTGTGTTCCTAAAAATAGCTTTGACTCATGGATTTTAAAGGACAGATCTATATTTGACATATTTCTGAAATTACTAAATGTCAAGGGTCAACTGAAAGTCTATGACCTACCAATACGAATGAGAATCCTACACTTGTAGAAGAATCATTGAACAGTGACCTACCAGCTCTGTAAAGATGAGAACTCTATGTTTATATTGACAACATTGACCTTTGACCTACTAGATCTGTAGAGAATAGAAATCTTCACTTGTATGGGTAACATTGACCTTTGGCCTATGATATTGGTAGACACCTGTATGAGTGGGTATCTTTGACCTACCAGGTCTGTAGAATTGAGAACTCTAATACTATATGGGTAACAATGACCTTTGACCTACCAGATCTGTAGAGATGAGAACAGGTAACAATGACCTTTGACCTACCAGGTCTGTAGAATTGAGAACTCTAACACTATATGGGTAACAATGACCTTTGACCTACCAGATCTGTAGAGATGAGAACAGGTAACAATGACCTTTGACCTACCAGATCTGTAGAGATGAGAACTCTACACTTGTATGTCTTCAGTTTACTCATGGCCTCGTTCCGGTCCTTCTGGTCTAGACATCCAGCAATACAGGCAGTGGGCCAACCACGGCTGGTCAGGGCGTCAGCCATATTCTGAGCTCTATCAAATAGTGATATATTCTCTTAGTTCTTATACTTGTGTTCCATTACAACAACAGAAATCACCAAAGTAAACACATTAAATGTATTGGTTTAATGTTAAGTGTAAGTTTTTTTGACAAATCATATTGAAAGTATAACAAAATACACCAATTGATTCTAGAAATTTAAAAAAGTGTGATACGACTGATTTAACCACTTTTTAACATTTGTCTAATGAAATTTGCATAATAAACTCTTTTTCAGTGTTAAATCTACACAATTTACCTTGTCTGTAAGTTTGAGAAGATCAGACACTGCTGGAAATTGACAGAGGACAGTATCTCTGTGACAATTTTGGTCTTGTTCTCAAACTGTTTGTGTGGCAGGGGATGGTAGGGCACAGAGCGGTAGTACTGGTTAATTCCTAAAAAACAAAACTTTAAATCAAATAGCAGTTTTAAGAAGCTGCTGGAAACAACACTGATGTAGCTTGTTTAGTATACCAAAAACTGGGGAAAAGTCTATAGAAAGTTTCAATCTTCTGATTACATGTACCCGGTACTTTTAAAAGATTTTATGTGCAAGGATTTTAATTCACACCAGCAACAAAAAACATATATTTGCATTATTGTTTAATTTTAGCTAGCAACAATAACAGAAATGTATCTTTTGTTTAATGAGATGTTTTAATTACAGCTTTCAATCCAAAATAATCCATAACAAAATATTTCAATTTAATTTTTCATCATCAATTCCCTGCAGAGATTTGTATACACATTCACATCTTGTATCAAGGCATGATTCAACCTGAACACTAGACAAATGTACAGGTGTTTGACAGTTTGAATCTTCATCAGCTCAGAGATCTATGAAATACATATATCTGCATTGCATTACCTTGAGACATGCACCATTGGTGAAGTTTTCTTGAAGTAAAATATCATATTTTTTTAAATCCAAAACTTGCAATTCATTAATGTGGAGGTTTAGTATACTCACATAATGAATATTTATGTTTTATATCTGCCTTATATAGAACATCATGAATATTCAGACTATCAATTTACCACCAACTTTTCTGTGTTTTTTTTTAAAATCAATCTTAAGAAGTTTCTTTTCATCAATACTTAATTGGAGACTGTGTTGAGCATGAAACTTGCAGCCGCTTAACAAAAGTCAGTACTCGCCCAGAAGAGCAGGATCGTAAATGTTGAGACGGAGAAAGGTAGGATTCCTCATGTAGGCGGTCAGGTGTTGAGCTAAATACTCTGGGTAAGTAGCGGACAGGGCCAGCATCTGTTTGTTATCAGGCAGGGAGGAATAGATCCAACTAAATACAGAAACACATTGATTGTTATAAAAGGAAGAACATAAGTGTCCAAATAATCACAAAAAACATTGAAATAGAATTGGTCATTTACAGTCAGCATCAGGACAGGTGATCAAAGTATGGTGAAGTAAAAGAATACCACATATATCTGCTGCTCACAGATCTAACCTTATCTAACCAAATTTTACAAAGACTACAGACAAAGCAACAGCGATTTGCACAACCCGGTACAATATTACAATTGGCTTATAGAATACCGAGGATCAGGATAAAGGATCAGGATAAAAAGGTATAATTATTATTACCTTAAATAACACCGGGTCTTTCCATACTTAATCACTTGTTCTTATAGCAGTTGTCACAAGAAATATAGGTTGATGTGAACAAAAACAGGAAGGTTTACTCATTTTCAAAATTGAATTTGACATTTAATTTTATACTTTTACTCTTAGCAGATATCTACAGGATGATGATGTGAGTATCAACATCTAGATAATGAAATTCTAGGAATCATAGATTATACCATTTTACATTACTTTCTACTCAGGAAAGACACAAGAGTCCAGAAGCCAGCTTACTGAAGGAAGAATTTGTATCCTAAATCATGAAATGCACTTACTTGATTTGCTCCTGAAAACCTTCCTCAAGTAATTTGTCAGCCTCGTCTAGGACAAACATCCTGATACTCTCGGTGGTCATCATCCCAGTCTCTATCAGCTGTTTAATTCGACCTGTCAATCATAACATGACAATCAATCTTCATAGCAAAACCAATCCAAACCATATAATGGGGAAAAAAAAGTTTGATTAAATATGTATTACACCTAAATCAATGTTTTTTTCTTCTCATATAAGCATTATTATGATATCATCACAAACGATTTACAATCTTGAACTAATTCAAGCTTTATAAATACCATACAACTCTTAATTTATTACTGGTACCTCTGTGTTTTCTATGTTTGCAGTCAAACAACTTCACATCAAATGAAATACCCAGTGAAAATTATCCCCTTGGTTAGGGTCTTGTTCAGTGAAATTCAATGTGCATGAATATGTTCTGGCCAAGGATCATGTTGCAATCTTAAAATGAGGTAAAATATTTCAAATTTCAATGAAAATTTTCTTTCCTTTGAAAATCATTCTAGATTTAGCAAAAAAAGTTTAAATTGTCAATATTTACAACTACAAGAATGTTGAATCACATTTGCATATGAAACTGAAAAATTAAACAACAATGAAATTTTGACAAAATTCTTTCCTGACCCTAGGGCCTGGTAAGTAACTGTGACATTCATGGTATATTTTTTTGTGAATTTAGGTTATATACAAACCTGGTGTTCCAACAGCGATGTGACATTTCTTAAGCTTCTGTCGATCTTCCTGAATTGGCATACCACCTATGAATGTCTGACAGAAGAGGTGCGACACATTCCTCCCAATCCCGCGGATCACCTCCCAGATCTGGATGGCGATTTCCCTGGTCGGAGCCAGCACCAACACCTGTAAAAATAGGTATCATAATAAACTTAAATATTCAACAGGTACAGTACACATCCGAGGAAGATATATTTACATCAGATTATTGTCAGTGCCAAGTCATCTTGTATTTTTAGGTCCTTGTGAATTTGTTACACTCAATAATTTCAAATATCCAAGTCATCTTTTATAAAACTATTTCCTAGACTGAAATAAAGCAATATAAATGTACGAGGCCAAAAGCAATAAAATGCTTTCTATCTTAAATAATGTACAACCAAAGAGAACCAATTTTCTGATTTCAATTTCATATTGTTCTTTGAATTCACATCAAGTTGATGTGATAATTTTGTGTTAAAAAATAAAATGCATATCTAACTGTACCTCTAATGCAGAGTCAGTGTTCTCATTAAATGCCAGTTACCAGCAAAGTAGCCTGTTTTTTTCAGAATAGAATGTACATCATTACAACATTTGAACAATCAAGCAGCTATTCTTTTCAAGTGAACAACCTATTTTAAAACTTCATGACAACATGTATACTGTCTGATAACTGGCTTTTTGATATGATCTGTGTAGCATACATGTAGCTAGCAGTGTGACAGGAACTAAACATAATGTATCTGTGTAACACATGTAACTGGTTGTTTGATAAGGACTGAACATATGCAAATATTATAGTACCTGTAATGCATAGCTGGCTGTCTGCAAACCTTCAAGAGCAATAACAGAAAACACACATGTCTTTCCAGTCCCTGACTTTGCTTGGACAATTAGATCTGAAAGGTGAAAAATAGGTTTACACTTTAGGAATTTAGTTGACTTAGGTTTCAGCAGGTGTTCCACATGATCATGGTTCGATTCTTGGACTTCTTTTGTTTCTTATGAACTATATAATTGATAGTGCTGATGTTATTTAATTAACCTGTCTATTTGCAGACAATACTTCTTTGTTAAAATCATCCTCTTCATGTCTAGAAATCCAAACCGTTCTGAATAGAGATCTCCAATCTCTTAATGCATGGTCCCAAACTCGGTAAGTAACATTCAATCCAGGAAAAAAATACTATAGTTATTTTTTGTTTCAATCTCTGTTGAAATTGATGAAGATTTAGAACTAGAATTTAATGACGAATTTTAAAACTCTACTGATCATCATAAACATTTAGATGTAATTTTTTAATTCAAAGGAAATGGGGGAGGCATATTTGTGCAATATATATATATATATTTCAGTTATGAAAAAAAGTCCTGAAAACTCTTATTGAATCGAGATATTCTTTTTAAGATTTATATTATAAATCATTTATTTTACCAGTTTTAGAATCTGCTTGTGAATTGTATGGATGGTTGCACGACTTATGAAACAGAATTGTTTGAGAAAGCCCAAAGAGAAGCTATTCATATATAATAACTGGACTTAACTAACTTCATATATGCCCGAATTGAAGCCTTACTTTTTGGTCTAGAAACTCTTTTGAATCAAAGAAAATGCAGAGAACTCCAACTTTTGTATAAAATGCACAACAAATTAACCTCTGAACTATTTAAATGATCTATTGCCGTCTATACTACCATTGCAGAAAATAACCGATACACCCTTAGAAATAATAATGATTATAGAATTCAAATGTGGATTCATTTCAGTTTACACCATTTCTTTTCTAGGCAACACCTCACTCCCTCCACCCTTCCCTTTCCACCATGTCCTTCTCCCTTTCCCAAAAACATATATGTACATTATTTTTACCATATGCATTGTGGAAAGGACTATATTATATATATATAATTACATACCTTGTTGTCAAATGATTAATCTATTTGTATCTTTGAACAAAGTCAATAAAATATGTTTAAACTAACTAAGTTGACTGAAGTTCATTCACTGACATAATGATAATGATGACAAGAACTTTAGAAGGTTGAGATTTATCCTTTCTAAATGTAAACGATTTTTTCTGTAAATAAATAATCATAAAGGTTTCAAATTATTTTTACAAACTACAAGGCATGAATAAAGGGAAATTTAAATATTCAGATTCATTGCCGGAAATAAGCAAACAGTAATATACATTCAGTACTTAATCTTTTATAAAAGTCAACTTACAAATTAAGAACCATCAGGCCAGAAGCTACGTTTTCGCAGCTAGGATAGGCCTATGATCATGATCATCCAAAAACTATTACACAACAATTTTGGTAATAAAATTAGAGTATATCTGGTAAGAATATCAGAATAACAATTCAAATTCCATGGTTCAACAAACCTAAACCACATCTCCCAAGAGGGATTGCCTTCAGCTGTATAGGAGAGGGCCTTTCGAATCCCGAGCTTTTCAATCCTTGAAGAACCGGAGGAGATAAAAGAAGGCCTGCAAAGTCAATGTTGTCACTTATCAGGACATCATTTGTTCTCTTTTTCTCACTTATGTTGTGTGCAACAACAGAATCCGACATTTTTGTTACAATTTAAGTCGGAGTATGATCTAACATGCGTTTTCCAATCGATTGTCCACCATCTTTGCGCCTATGCCTAAAATATATATGAAAGGAGGTATATGATTGGCGTATATGGCGTTCTGAAAAATAATTGACCAATGAAATCAGCTTTTACATTTTCAATACTCTTCAGTCATGTTCGCCCACTTCCGGTCTTAAAACTCTTTATTCACTTCCGCCTTCGATCACTATCAGGTTGTCATCGGCATCAACTGTAAATATGTCTCACCAGACAGGAATATCAGGTAGTATATCACACAAAAGTGTTTTCCATGGATTCTTTAAGTATTTCCAATTCAATGAAATATTTTTAGTGATCAGAAACCTCCCTTTTGTGACTACAAAATCGTCCTCTTAGCCGGGTGGGAGGAGTCCATGCAAGTGAACAGTTTATTTTAGATTATGACCCCTAAATATGTATGTGATGTCATATGATATACTTGGTTACTTATGGTGTTTTTCCAACACATGTCCTGTCAGGTCCTCTTCGTCGGACTCCGTACTGTTTAATTGTAGTTTACTGTAGGGAGATATAAAGATATTTGATTTTTTGTGGTCCTATATATGTGAGCATAGTACATAAAAATCACACAGTTGGTAAAAACGAACGAAACATAATAATAACTACAAGGATTAATTGATTGGCCAAAAGGTTATCAGGTACTGGAACACTGGCAAATCTGGCTCAGGCTATAGAGCTAGATTTTTCTATAAAGTCAAATATGACTATACGTATATAGGGAGAATGTAAACAAACATTCCCGTACTGGTCGTAATTATCTCAAGCACATCGATTGAAGTGACCAAACAGTACCCAGAGTTTCCTTTTATGTAAGGGCCAGATGAAACTCGGTCTAACCAAACAGGTAAGTCGCTTTGAACCCGGAACCTGTACCTGTTCAAGCATGTGGTTGTCTAGTGTGTAACAATACTGGTACAACAATTTTGGTAACAAAATAAGAGTATATCTGGTAAGAATCTCAGAAGAACAATTCAAATTCCATGGTTCAACAAACTTAAACCACATCTCCCAAGAGGGATTGCCTTCAGCTGTATAGTAGAGGGCCTTTCAAATCCCGAGCTATGAACATGAGATAGTACTTAGTGGCGTTAAATTTCATGCCCCAGTCTTTCACCCATGCTTTAAGTGACTTAAGGTCATGTTGGAGGCTGAGCTGGTCGTCTATGCTCTTTATAGCTTATATATAAGACGCACTTGAGAGGTAACACAGTTGGGTAAGTCGTTAATGTTAACGACTTACCAATCTGTGTTACCTCTCAAGTGCGTCTTTTTGATAATTGTCTGTTATATAGGCCTATCTCATGTCCATCTCTAGAAGCAAGACACCGCACCAGTATTGTTACACACTAGACAACCACATCTTTGAACAGGTACAGGATAACGCCTATCTTGGAGTTACACTCAGTGACCGTCTAAAGTGGACCACGTGCACACACATCAACAAAATTTCAAACCGTTCAAATTCCATCCTTGGATTCATCCATCGAAATTTAAAGTACTGTTCCAAACCCCTTAAAGAATCAGACTATATCTCACTGGTCAGATCTATATTTGACTATGCTTCTGTTGGATGGGATCCGTACCAAAAAAAGGACATAGACCGTCTAGAAGGGATACAGCGACGTGCTGCCCGCTTTGTGTGCAATGATTACAGCAGATACAGTAGTGTATCCAAAATGATGGAGGAACTTAAATGGCAACCGCTATACGAACGCAGACGAGACCAGCGTTTAGTGCTTCTTACAAAATAGTTCACGGACTCGTGGCCATACCCGTGACTCGCTATTCCAGTTTAATACTAGAACACAGCACAGTAAATCCATCAAAGTGCTTAGTTGTAACACCGACATATATAAAAACTCATTTGTACCATCTACCATAAAAGACTGGAATGTGCTACCATCGCACAAAATCAACTGTAAAACAACGGAACAGTTTAAGGCCACTATTATGACCAAAATTGACTAAGATTGATATAGCGCACTCACTCACCCTGGATAGACTTTGCTCAGTAGTGAGCTAATTTCCAGTACACATACAGATACAGATACAGACCCTCCAAACTGTAGATGGACGCTCTACCAATTGAGCTTCCTGGTCACCGATGATCTACCCAGTCCAGTTCCCCTAGAGTCATAATGATTCATCATATAAAATACTTAAACATAATACAAATAGTAAGTATCCAACATGGACTATCAGTTGGGACTATAGGTTCACATTCTATCCATCATTATTGATGTCATTCTGATCATGAGTAATGCTATTAGCATTTAAGTATCAGCTTCATGAAACTCAGGGAAACTGATCAATATTCACATCAACAGTAATTAGTGTAAGGGTAGCACAGTGTACTCTTGCAATTGATGTGTAAACATTATAGCCAGCTGTGACAAATTATACACCTCATGTTTGTTAGCATTGATTGATTAATATTTAGTTTCTTTCCATGTTAACATTCCAGCTAAACAACTGGAGGTCCAAACTCTGTATATAACATTGTAAAGGAGTGTGGAATGTTGTCATCACATTGCAGATTTATGACACTGTATTCTGAGGATACTACTGTGTTTATTATACAATTACATGCTCCTCTATATCCAGAGTTTATGGCTAGCTTTGTTCTGGGCATATCTCACACATGGTAATCTGTCATCTACCTTTGCCAAGATTCATAATTTCTCGATGTACCTCTTGATGGCAGAGTATCAGTGTCATATGCTGAAATTGAGGTCTTGTGCTCAACTATGATATAAATATGACCCATTCTTCAGGAGGTAGGGGGACTATTCATTGCTTGCAAAACTTTGCCTTTTTTTAATAATTGGGTATATCTCTTTTCAGCTTCTAAGGATTTACAAGATTTTTTCGGAACAGCCAAAGATGGAAAAATTCGCTGTATTCAGGTTAAAATAGAAAAAGGTAAGTCAATGATGTCTACACGTTACCAGATCACTTCACCATGGTGGGAGCACCGAGTTATATTAACATTTCCAGTGGGTTCTCACATTTACTCTCATATAAAATCATTAGCACCTAAATATTGCACAATGCACATGTAATGATGTTTAGCTTAGTCTCCCTTTGACATCAAAAGTCTGTTTACGTGTATTTTACTAATAATTGAAAAGTTTTGCATTGTTTATGTTTAAGTCATTGCTTGCAAAACTTGTTTTTTGTCTAGATATACTAGACTAAAAATGTGCCTTTTGTCTAGATATACTAGACTAAAAATGTGCTTTTTGTCTAGATATACATGTACTTCACATGAATGAAATTATTCTTGTCATTATTTGAGAAGTTGTGCCATAGTAAATACTGTTTGCACTAGTTCTATGTTTTGTTAACTAGTAGACGGAATAAAACCTTACATGGTCAATAGACAATAAATGTACATATTTAATTAAAAACGATGGCCATACACATTTTCATTTAAATTATACACATCAAGAATGGAAAATAGAGGATAATGTGACATCATTCTTTTAACCTTTTTATAATTTAGATTGTTATTTTATTTACATTGACCTTAGTCACAGTGAATGCTATTTTATCTTGAATGTTAATGGCTATGATAAATTTTGCTGAAAATCTCCTAGGTAGGACATCAATGGAAAGCCTGTGGCTTGTAACGATGTTATTTATCTGCATTTCGTTAATTGATTGGTTGATGATGGAGTGCGCGAAGAATGGCATACATTGTATGACATTAAATATATCTAGACGTCTAGTGAAGTCTAATTGTCGCAATAGTTTTAATTAATATTTACACAAAGTAGATTAAAAGGACGGATAAAATTTGTGTGTATGATCTTTCCAGTGCACGTTTAACCTATTGTCAATGGCTATGATAAATGTTGCTGAACATCAATGTGATAATAACGATATACAACATGAGTTTGTTGATATTCCCATTACAGATCCAGTCTCCAATGAAGGTTACATTCTAACACTTATTACGATACTAACCATTACGCTTTGTGTCTTTGTTATTGTATCAGATCAATAGGATTTCAGTACATTTCTGTATATGTACACATGTTGCTATCACTTTCTGAGGTATTCTATTTATACCATATTATCATTATTTAATCTGATGAATTGGTTAATATAATTTTGTTTATTTGTTATTTAGTATTTAGTATTTAGTTTATTTTGCATAAGGATATTTTTGTGTAAGTTTACTAGTATATCTTTCGGTCATACAATAACGGCATATAAGATTAGTAATGAAGACTGTTTCTGAGAATGACAGGTTACATTCGGTTATAATATACTGTTACAGTAACAGTATACATAAAGGGTCATGGTGTTGGATTTATTATTTGCACCTTCAAAGTGAAAACCAGCTCATTTTGTCAGACCAATGTCAATGTAACTACTAATTTTATCTAAGTAAGACTTTGTCGGTTTTATGTCAATATGTCTGTTTCAGTTTATTTTGTCTTTTAATTCCTGTTTATATATCAATAACTTACATTATAATGTCAGTTGAAGTTCTCCAGTAGTTATGAAAGTACTAGTAATTATAAACAGGTATCATATGTTTTAATTTATTATAGATATGTAACAAAATATATTTCTGTTCATAGGGATTGACTATCTATAGCTTTTCCCTTGCATGGTTTATTTGATTGTCTGCTTGTGTAAATGATCAAAACACATTGCATGCCTTAATATTGTCCAGTTTTATATATATTAATTAATCAGTTTTTTTATGGGTTTTTTTAAGTTTTATTTTAATTTTTGATAGTAAGGTGGTATGCCAGATGACAGTTATATAACTACAGTACATGTAAACTGGGTATACAGGAGGTCAGCTGTATCTCCAGGATTTTAATCATTTATCTGATTTTGAAACATTTCAGATCATTTTTCTAAATGTATTGAAATATTTCAGATGCTACATAAATGGCCCATGTCCTTTGAATTTGTAGATAAATGCCTCAGTGTCCCAATATCATAACATATATGTATAAACAGCAGTGTTAGCGACAATAAAAAGGGGAACACAAATTCACAATTTCATTTTTCCTGATTCAAAATTTCTTTGATATTACTGTACTACATTTCTGTAGCTAAAATGACCTATAAATGATAATAAATATATCTAGATACAAACATTTATACACTGTTTCACGTTAGTTAATATAATAAATAGATCTAGACACATACATTTATACACTGTTTCACATTATTTAATATAATAAATAGATCTAGATACATACATTTATACACTGTTTCACGTTAGTTAATATAATAAATAGATCTAGACACATACATTTATACACTGTTTCACAGTAGTTAATAAAAGTTTGTGTTACTCATACAACTGTTATAAAAGTTTTATATAAGGAATTCATCAATTCAGTCATCATAGCTATTTGCATGTACACTGTATTAGCATGGCTGAAGTCAAAATAAGAAACCAAGTCATTAAGTTTCTACAATTCTTTATTGTAATCTCTTGCATGTAATGTTGTATGATAATAATTTGCATGTAATGCTAATATTACAGAAGTTCCCACATCTGTATTTCTTGATGTTGCGTACATTATATATATAAATAAATAAATACCAGACCAGCACTTACTGCTGATATATCAATTAGTTTTTAGCTTTCCTTGATTATGAAAACATCAACAAACATTCTGTGCATTACTATAAAGATTTAAACAGAATACTTACACATATAATTCAGAGAGATATAACAGAATATGATATCATAAAGTTAAACACTACTATTTATATATCATACCGTACCTATTATTTATGTAAGAGTTATCCCCCTTAAGATTTAAAAAAAATAGTATGACTATATTTGACCTAATAAGTGCCCTGGGTTCTTAACACTAAGGGAAAATTAATTAATTGTGGATTGTAGAACTTTCAAAACATTTTCTCTCACAAATAATAATGTTTTCAATTAAGGTTGTATAGTATAGTGAAGGGATAAGATAGTCAGACAAGAAAAATAAAGGGATGCTTTTAAGGAGTGAGGTACATATTAGGTCAAATACGACATGTACTTATAATGTTGAATCGTCGGAGTGTATCAATTGATTTGTTTCTGTGTACTATTGAAATGTGTCATAAATTCAAATCAATGGTCAAAGTCTTATTAGAATCTGTATACACTAACAGCAAGAAGGTTATTGAATGTGTGGTACTTGACACTAAAAAATAACAGTATTACGTAATTGTACACACCATATACAGTGTGTATGGTGTCATTATGTGTTCACTGTGTACAAAACATTTCTCAGTAACTAGGCTGATATTGTGTAAAAATATATTGCCATTATTTGTTCCCATATAATGATATGCTAGAAACACCCTGAAAAATGATATTCACTGATATATCGCGGTAATTACTGTTTCTCCCTATCAGCCTCGGAGGTTGTTGAGAATTTAGACAATGGGGTGATTATAATTTGTGTGACATTCTTATTGCACAACTGACTTGGTAGCTAGGACCATGTAACAGGAGCTAGATATCACTGTGTAACACTTCCTGGTAAATATAGCTGTTTGAAATCAGGTTTATTACCTGCTCATTTGTCAACTCTGTCTTTTGTTTTCATTTTAGAAAGCTTGGAACTTGGAGGAAGTAAAAATGCTTTAAATTCCTGGGAAGATGATATCCTTTTTGTAATAAACATATGTAATATGTTCATATAAGGTCAAACAAAGAAACAGGGTTGTTACATGTCTGAAGAAGTTAGGGTATGTGTTGACTTTAACAGTGCTTCCTGTTACATGTCTGAAGAAGTTAGGGTATGTGTTGACTTTAACAGTGCTTCCTGTTACATGTCTGAAGAAGTTAGGGTATGTGTTGACTTTAACAGTGCTTCCTGTTACATGTCTGAAGAAGTTAGGGTATGTGTTGACTTTAACAGTGCTTCCTGTTACATGTCTGAAGAAGTTAGGGTATGTGTTGACTTTAACAGTGCTTCCTGTTACATGTCTGAAGAAGTTAGGGTATGTGTTGACTTTAACAGTGCTTCACTTATCAATAACTGTAGCACAATCGACCATAGGTATCCAACTATGCTGCTAAAAATGAATACCTAAGAGATAAGATTGCTGTACCTAAGTTATCACTTTATTATTAAAAGAAAAATATTCGTATTCTTTAGTTGTAAAGTTGCTACATTGTACACTTTGATCAAGATCCTATGGCTTATGATGTTACTCTCTTGCAACAGACAGCTCTTGTCAAAATGGGGGTTTAAGAAATATAGTTCTTATGTGAATGCTAATATGGAAATGATTTATTAATCATTGATATCATTGAAGGAAGATGTCATATATTGACAAAGTTCTGAAATACATACAATTGCTAATTTTGAATCTTCTGGAATGAAAATTAAGGATTGCTGTTTTGATTTAGCTGTTTGAGTGATAAGATAAAAGTAACTTCAATATAATTTTTGTAATAAATACTGAAAACTTTTTTTGCAAAATTTGCTAAAGTCTGTATTTAATGGGCAAATCATTTGAACAGCATCAGAATATCAATGGGAAATCTGAAACAAAGCCAAAATAGCCCCCATTTGAATCACTACAGGAAGGCATCACTAGGAAGGGCTGTATCAGGAACTGATGTCCATTGTTAGGACGATACTGAAGTTTTTAGAATCATCGTTTGACAGGTTGGACCATAGCTGTTTGTTGTTTGTAGGGACAGTCCTAGTGATTTGATGTTATTTTCTAACAGGCTTTAGCAAAGACTTTCCCAAGGCCTGCATTAACATTTGCAGGTTCATCAGGTTTTACCCTTTGAATATTACATGCATACATAATGGGGTCGATTGCGCTACACTTATCAATAATTGTAGCACAATCGACCATAGGTTACCTATTATTGATAGTGTTAATTCAATTCATTGCTAATGAAGAGTTTCGAAGGAAAATAACTTTTATGAAAATCAAATGTGTTACGATGTAAATGACAAATATCCTGAGGAAGTGTGATGTATACGTACAATAAGCCTTAACATTGTTCACATTACGACTCTATGGTGGTTCCCTATCTGGAAGACAAACAACCCTGCTATATACTGTTTCGCCTCGACTCCACAAATGCCCAGGGTTATGAATGGATCTTCATCTGTTGGTCCCCTGACTTTTCTGAGGTAATTTTGACTATCACATCTAGAATGACTTGAGCATCAAGATTCAGATAACTGGTGCTGTACCGGTTCCAAATAGAGTTCTCTATGTGTTTTTAGTCAGAATATAAATTTTCACCAAATGCTAAATACAATATCATGTGATTAGAACAACTGAAACTGAGATAAAAAAAAACGTAAATAAATTCACACTCCACATGTGCTTATAATATAGGTCCCTTTTATGTTTTTTGTGTATCAAAATAAGAAGTTTATGCGTTTATTTATTGTTTCTTGATCATACTTTATTTAAAAATAACTAGAGAGGATGTTGTACTTTTCTCTGTGTTACTTTGTTAACAACTTGTTACATAGGTTCGAGACAAGATGTTGTATGCCGCGACACGATCCACACTGAAACAGAACTTCGGGGGTGGCCAGATCAAGGAGGAGTTATTTGGAACTGTCGAGGTAATTTGAGTCACAATTTATCAGATCAGGATCAAATACATTCCAATGATGTTACTGGAAAGATGTGTCTTATCATCAGTACATGTATAAGAGATTTCCTTGTCAGTCTACCTTTGGATAAACACATAACATAGGTGGTGTCTAGATATAGATAATCTATGAAATGATGGCCATTTAAGGAGTCTGATTTCTGATACAATTTAAGGTTATCCTGTATATCAACTTGCTTAGATGTGGACTTTTTACAAAAACAAATAACTTCTTTTTTTTCGATAATGAAGATTTCTGCTGTTATTCATAAACCTAAAATTCTCAATTATTTAGTTACTTCCTAGAAATTAGGGCCTCTTTATACATTTTGTATTAATATATCATGTGTGGCTGTATTAAATGATTTAGTTTATACTTTTGTGGTTGCCAGGCTGACTGTACCTTGTCTGGATACAAAGTGCACATGCTGGCCCAAAGTGCTCCCGCCCCCCTCACCATGGCGGAAGAGGAACTACAGGAAATCAAGAGGTCTGAGGTAGGTTTTGACTGGGTCTGCTTTCACTTATCCCGGTTGAAATGGTACAGGTAGCACAGAAATATTTGATGATAAAGGAACTTGGACTAAATCTAATAGCAATGACTCAAAGTGCAATTTTGGAGTTTTGTGACGAATATTAACAACAAATAAAAAAATAAACATGTGTCCTTCATGCATGTACTAAATTTTATTACAGAATTATATTAAATATGTATGTGTATCGACCTTGTTTTATGTAAAGATTTGGTGTACAAGGACATCTTGGGATGGCGGAGTGCAGAGTGCAGAGTGCTAGAACTAGTTCACTGACTTAAGTGTACTGTTTATTAAATATAGAAATCATTACCGGTGGGGGACTATGGGTTGCAATATTTTGTCTTGTTTTCTTTCATGTTGAAACAATTGAAATGGTTTAACCAGACATGTTACCACAAGTCATGTTCTGGAATGATACTGGCTGCTTGACAGGATGACCCTGTTCTTCACATTTTTGGTATCAATAAAACTATCTCCCTGTCAACAGGTCTATTTTTGTCATCTGATATGAGAGAGTGCACTTACAACAACCTGGTTTCCTAACTGTTATTTTGCTCATTAACTAAGCAGGGACTATATATGGTCAAAACAACACTTAGTCTTGTTTGTCCTAAGTGTGACTGAAGTGGAGAATATGTGTTTGATTCCGTTTAGATTAAGACGGCCGGCGTGGATACCAAACACCAGACATTGCAGGGCGTGGCCTTCCCTGTCACAGATGAGGCATTACAGAAAGTACAGGAGTTCACAGAGGGCCTCTACACCTATATCCAGCTGGTATGGGAGGAATTTATTTGTAGAAATGACATTGATTTAAACACTCATATCAACAACATCATTATTGACAACAACTAGAAGTTTATTAGCTTTTCTTTTGAACAGTTTCTTTTGAAAGAGTCATAGATACAAATATTTTTCCTGTAGCTTTATTTTAATCCACTTTTAAGGCTACAAGTGTGAGATTTATGCCAGGTGAGTGATGCAGGCCCATTGGGCCTCTTGTCATGTGACTGCCAGCTTTGTGACATAACTGCCATGTTTTGCAGTGAATACATCATTTCATGTTTTTTTTATAAATATACAAAAGTGAATCTTTCCTAAGATCCAAAAATGATTCAAGATCCTCTATTTAGCTGAATAAGAACATACAAGTTGTATGAAAGTACAGTACACTTGAATGACATTTTTTTCTGGCACTTTCACCAAAAAAATGACCAATTAAATCCTTATTGTAACCAATGGACCAACCAAATTAACTGAATTACAATTTTGATATACCTTTGCATGACGTCCATTTATTTTAATATGTCACTTCTACATGACAAATTGATAAACAGGAATGATGGGAAGTTTCAAATTTAATGAAATTTTCATTAGGACCAAATTGTCACACCCATTTATGTTGCTTGTCGCATACTGATGCCTGATTATGTTACAGTTATCTAACTGTTGGTTGTGTGTACCCAGGGTAAGGAACATCCCGTAGTATTCTTTCAGACATTAATTGTGTGGTTTGTGGTTGTAGAGCTTGGACCTGACTGAGGAAAAGGTCATCCTGGAGAAGGCAGTGAATATTCCTACCAGTGCCTTGTCAGAGCAGGTTCCTATGGACCACGCTCGCTACCATCTCTTTAACTTCAAACACACACACGAGGGGGACTACACAGAGAGTTATGGTGAGTCACATGTGTAGATATGGATTGTTTGCTTGTTTGTGTTTTACGTCCTATTATGGTCAGAGCCTAGGGTTAGACAACCAAAAACATCACCCCTTGGGTTGGAGATTTCTCTGTCACAACCTCAGAGTAGGGGAAGATTCTATTAATCAACTGTCTCCATAAACATTTAGACATCAAGGTCTCTACACATGTATATTTTGACTTACTACAACCTCCTGCGGACCCAGGGAAAAGATAAGATTAAATGAAACCAATTTATGGTGTAGGAATCCCCTAAAATGGTCTCTCCTTTTCTACCTTACAGTATCACTTTCTTTTCTGAGCTGTGAAAAGGCACTGAACAACCTTATAGTGTTAATTAGCACTTCAAAAATAAACAAACAGACATATACTACAAATGCATAAATATTGAGTGTCTCTACAGGTGTAAATTTATACTGTGTGTGCACATTTGTATACATCAGCTGGTGCTACAAGTGTAGATATTGATAACTTCTATTTCAATCAGCTCTAGTAATGTAATCTTTAAGTGCTGTTGGCTGTCAGTCATTCCTTCCTGATAACAAGAAGCATCACTACAGTTTCAGTTGATAGTGATAGGGAGACCCAGTGTACCTGTATAGTGCCATTTGTAAGCAAACTAGGTCACCAGGGCTGAAAACTACTTGGGAATCTCTGACCTAACATGCACAAAAATGATAAAATGTTTTTTTAAATGAGGAGAGTATATATTTGTATAACAAGCCCGAGGTGATCCTGAATATAATTTCACAACAGCCACATTTGTTCAGAGTTTGATGTATCCGAAACAATTGCTTACCCTATGAAACAAAATATAATTTTAGTTATAGGCATCTTAATTTATTAGCATGTCATCTCCTGAAAAGTGTCTTCATGATAAACATGTTTTTATTTATTTCTGTTCACCTGTTTCCAGTTTTTATATACTCCATGCCGGGTTACAAGTGTTCTATCAAGGAGCGTATGCTCTACTCCAGCTGTAAGTCTCCACTACTTGCGGTACTAGAGAGCCATATGCAAGTAGAGTTTGCCAAAAAGGTGAGTGTTGGTTATCTGTATGCTGTATAACTCGTGTACTTTTGCTCTGTACTTACATTCACAGTTCGTCGGCTGCAGTGTAGTCAAGAATTGTCAGTACTTGGATTACATGTACATAGTCACATGTATCCACACAACACTTAAATTTTATTTTAACAAAATGGTTGATAAACTTAAAACCATAAAGTATGTATTGGTTTGAGTAATACAAAACTGTAGTGTTAGCCACATATAAATTATCCTATGATATAGCAGTACTGTAGTAAGAGTTTCAAGTTTGAGAATGAGAAAACAAACTTGATACATGTATTTTCATTTTTTTATTTTTTTTTTTCATTCTCAATAGAATACAATGTATAATATTCTCTATCTGTCTAGAATTTACACCTGGAATTTATTCTTACAGATGGAAGTGGATGACCCTAAAGAACTCGCTGAAAAAAATCTTTATGAAGAAGTACACCCAATTAAAAATATTGTAAAGAGTGCCTTTGCCCGGCCCAAAGGCCCATCAAGTCGGGGACCTAAGAGAATGACGAGGAACAAAGATGAACAAGAAGCTAGCTAATTACATATTGTCCATTTTAACATATCTTAAATTGTATTATATGGTTGCCAATGTTTAATTGTTATAAGGACAATTATTGTTGGTGTTTTAATATTTATATCAACAAGTTCACTTTATGTAAGAACAAGTCCCTCCTTTAATGTTTAATATGCAAATCAACCTTTGCTCATTATAAATTTTATTTGGTGGCTGTCCATTTGGGCAAATCGTGTGGAATCATGGCATTGTTTTGCTTAATATGAATACTAGGCCCCTTTCATGTGTTCGGTTCAACCGGTTCTTCTGTTTTTTATGTAACATTTTTCGGGTATAAATCCTGGCGGACCTGCAAATGTTTATGCAGGCCTTGAAAGGCTTTGTAAAGGCTCGCCTGAAAACAGCATCAGATTACTAGGTCCGCCTTATTTCATAAACGAACAACTTTGGTCCAACCACTTCAACCGGTTGGATCGTGATTAACATAATTTTCCCCTAGGTACCCTGTTGATTTTTTGGAATATTATAAACGCATTAGAGCTATGGGAGAGTTTGTGAATTTCAAAATATTTTAGTCTGCTGGCCGGAGATGTTTTATGGTGTCCTAGGGTTCTTTAAAGACCTTATTTTGATGCTAAATATTATGGCATGATAACAGAGATATCTAAGCCAGTTGCCATTAAAAAAAACAATTCAGGTTAAGGATAAATGTTACCATGCTCCATGGCATTTTACAGAAAATTTTGTTAGGAGGCTTAAGTATAATATTTTTACAGAATGAGTTCCAGTTATAGCAAACGAGTCCTATGGCCTGTTCGTTCATGCGAAACAATCAGTTCGTCTGTTTTTGAATGCAACATTTCGGGTATAAATCCTGGCGGACCTACTAAACTTTATGCAGGCCTTGCCTGAAAGCAGCATCAGATTACTAAATCCGATCTTATTTCATAAATGAATAACTCTGGTCCAACCGGGTCAACCGAAGCGGCCCAGGACTTGCAGAAATCACTGACCATGTGACTGAATTGCAGGAGAAAACCAGGTCCACCTATGTAGCCCCATCTATGCAATGCCATTATGTACAGGCCAAACTCATCTGGTTATACGTCTTACATTACAATTTACTTTCACCTTTTTGTTGTACTTCAGTCATTTTGGACCGATTTCATAATTTTTCATGGAAATCTTTTCAAGTTAAAACCAATATCAGCAAGTTGTTTGTGAATAATTAAAATGAAAACTTCTCGACTTCTTTTCTCTTATGATTCTTATATGAATGGAAATTCATGTAAGATTTGAATTCAGATGTTTTACTTATCCATAAGGATTATTTTGGTGTACAGACTTCAATAATTTCTTTTTGTGTCAAAGCAAACTTTTAATTCCATTCAACTGTTGTCTCTGGAAATGTTCACCCTATAGACAGCCATCGTATTAGAGCTTGTTATTTTACAAGATTTTGTGCTTGTTGATGTAAGTTTGAGATTAGCCGAATTGTTTTTTTTGGAATGAAATGTAGCTGTTGTTATAAGGTGTTTGTTTTTAATGCAGGTGGCTAAGTGATCGTCAAATATAAACATGAATTGTTTGTTTATAGATGAAGATGAGTTTATTTTGTAAATTAGTCATGTAAAAAGTCCTTGCTACAGTTTGTTGTATATAACTGAAATTCACTTGTATAGAGTTTATTATGCAATATGCATGTTGCTCCTCTATTATGTTTGGGGTCATTACACTGTGCATATTGTTGCCTACCCATCACACGGAGTCACTGACCCGTACCACACGGACATACCTAGCTTAGTTTTACCAGAGGATGCCTGAATTTCCGTCAGAAAACAAATATATATATATTTTCTCGGCACCTGATAGTTATATTTTTCAAAATTTAGAATGATTTAATAATTTAAACTGCATTGGCAGCAGCCACAGGTGCCTGTGTGATGACACGCGAGTTGTGAGCCCACTGTCCAGCTTAGCAACTCACTTTAAGGAAGCAACACACTTCAAGTTAAAGTATAATGATCTTATTAACTCACTGTATAAAGAGAAACTCACCACTTGTCTATTCCTAGAATAAAAATCATTTAAAAGTGACTCTTAACGAGTGTGTCATGGTATTCCCAGCTTGTTATTGCTATAAGGAGTGACTCATTATGAGTTGAGGGATATTCCTACATTGTTAGCTCCCTCTGTAATGAGCCGTTAACAGAGTTAAGATATTGCCACATGTTTAACTTACTCTTTAGAGAGTGACTGGCTTTGAGTCATTGTAACACTACACAGTTGAGTTGCTCTATAATGAGTCCAGGGATTCCCACATTGTTAGCTCACTCTGTAATGAGTCGTTAACAGAGTTAAGATATTGCCACATGTTAAACTTGCTCTTTAGAGAGTGACTGGCTTTGAGGCATTGTAACGCTACACAGTTGAGTTGCTCTATAATGAGTCCAGGGATTCCCACATTGATAGCTCACTCTGTAATGAGCCGTTAACAGAGTTAAGATATTGCCCCATGTTTAACTCGCTCTTTAGAGAGTGACTGGCTTTGAGTCATTGTAACGCTACACAGTTGAGTTGCTCTATAATGAGTCCAGGGATTCCCACATTGATAGCTCACTCTGTAATGAGCCGTTAACAGAGTTAAGATATTACCACATGTTTAACTTGCTCTTTAGAGAGTGACTGGCTTTGAGGCATTGTAACGCTACACAGTTGAGTTGCTCTATAATGAGTCCAGGGATTCCCACATTGATAGCTCACTCTGTAATGAGCCGTTAACAGAGTTAAGATATTACCACATGTTTAACTTGCTCTTTAGAGAGTGACTGGCTTTGAGGCATTGTAACGCTACACAGTTGAGTTGCTCTATAATGAGTCCAGGGATTCCCACATTGTTAGCTCACTCTGTAATGAGCAGTTAACAGAGTTAAGATATTGCCACATGTTAAACTTGCTCTTTAGAGAGTGACTGGCTTTGAGTCATTGTAACGCTACACAGTTGAGTTGCTCTATAATGAGTCCAGGTATTCCCACATTTTTAGCTCACTCTGTAATGAGCCGTTAACAGAGTTAAGATATTACCACATGTTTAACTTGCTCTTTAGAGAGTGACTGGCTTTGAGGCATTGTAACGCTACACAGTTGAGTTGCTCTATAATGAGTCCAGGTATTCCCACATTGTTAGCTCGATCTGTAATGAGCCGTTAACAGAGTTAAGATATTACCACATGTTTAACTCGCTCTTTAGAGAGTGACTGGCTTTGAGTCATTGTAAAGCTACACAGTTGAGTTGCTCTATAATGAGTCCAGGTATTTCCACATTGTTCACTCATTGATTCAAGTTATTGTTGCTCTGTTGAATTGCTCCGAGTTACACTGTAGAGCTTCTTCGAGATCTCCCTCTCCATGTACGGTGCATACTTGTCTCAACAGCAGTTTTGTTGTTTCTGCTACATTGTTGTATGTTAATTTGTGTATGAAGTTGATTTTTTATATTAATAGAGGGATTGTTTTTGTTTTCTAACAGTGTATGTTTTTATACATGTATACTGATGCCATGGAGATTGAACTATATGTACATATATTTCTTTTTGTCAAGTTCAGCCCAATAAGCATACCATCAGGAATATTTTGATTTTGTTTTCTTCACGAGTGCTAAAGGTACAAAATATATATTAAACCCACAAGATGAATATAATAGAAAAGGCTAATTAAAGGGTGCTTTGAGCTTACCTGGCTGGACTGGTGGTGTGCTACACCTGCTTTAATGTCTCTGAGCTTATTTGTGTAGAGGTAAATAGTTCTTGACAGTTATTTATGATGATGTTATGTTTCAGTGTCTGGTTAACACATTCTTGTTTAAGTTTAACATGTTATACTGTATACTGAGAAATTTTCGCCTTTTCCGCCCTCCCTGATGAGTCGATTAATCATTACTGTGAACATAAGTACACAACATCATACACATAGTAATTACATGTGAAGGGCGAAATTAACACGGGGAGAATTATGGATTTGATCTACGAAGGGTGAAAGCTTGACTGGGCGACAACTTCCTGGTATACAGTAGTACCTGATAGTTGCCAAAATGAGCCTTGTTTCATATAATTATGAGACAATTAAGGGGTGTGCTGAAAGTTTCAGTTGAGTATTCATATATATAAGTTACATAAAAATCGTAAATACAAATAATTGAACTGAATTTTTGAAAAATGTAAACTTTGAAATATTTCAAGCAAATATTTTCAATGCATGAATTAGTATTTCAAGAATTTCAGTGTCAGAATGAGTGTGATATCGAGTTTAAGTCTAGTGTATTGTGTTCTACACTTGGAACTTTTGTATTGGATACCGTAGCTACTGTTACATGTTTTAAAGTTTTATAAAAACAGTTTATAGTAAGATGTGAAAAAAAAGCTTTCTAAACATGCAGTTACTTAAAGAATGTGTGTGAGTGAAAGGTAGACAATTTGTTTTATATCCATGAAAGGTTATTGCACTGGGTTTAGTAAATGCTAGTTTCAACAATGAATGTAAAAATAAAATCATTTTCAGACTTAGGATGAAATTATCACTGTTGGATATATGTCTTTTTCTGGGACCTATTGAGAAGCTAGGTTTGGAATTAAATGATTTTAGTAGTGATTTAAAGTGATCTTGTAAGAAATGTACACAAACATGTATATATGTTTAATATATAATTTTTGGAAGTTTAACACTGCAGTGTATATTTAATAACACATATCTAATCTATTAGGCATGTATCCTTGTACCTGTATTACCATACTATACAATATAAACATGACTTTTCCTGTAATGCCTGCTTGAGAATAATGAAATGGCTTGTCAGATAGTCTGATATCCTCCAACTCATATCAGTTCTTAACTTCTGTAGATATTAGGTGATACCCTAACAGGCAGGTATAACCACTGGGAGGATACCAGGAGTGTATCCAGGACTTCTAAATCCCTCCTCCAAACACATTTTTTAAGTGAGGAGGAGATTCACCTTACCAAAAAGTAATTTGGGAGGCTGAAACCTCCATGTAGATCAAGCAATAATATCATCTTCCGGGAGAGAAGGTATTACTAATGGGAACACTTGAGGATTTATCAAAATATAAAACTTATAATATACTCCGGCATTACTGATCTTTGAACGACTGCCATTTCCATTGTTGATCAGGGCCATAAACAAATAAGGAACATTTTTAGCCAGCGTGATGTGTGTATGCTTGTGGGAATGTTTGTCTATTGAAAGTATGTGATGATTACTGATAAATAGGAAAATAAAACTATTAAAACATCTCAGGATAAACCAAATTTGTACATTGTGTGTTTTGTATGTTAGAAAACTTTCTTTGTCCCAATACTACCGACATGGTACCAGGCATGTTCCAGGTGGGGCATCCATTATGACGTTTTGGGGATACATGACATAGGGGCACAGATTATGACATTTGGGTGTACAGACTATAAAATTTAGGTGTACAGACTGACGTTTGGGGCACACATGACATAGGGGTACCGATTATGACATTGATTATACAGACTGACGTTTGGGGCACACATGACATAGGGGTACCAATTATGACATTGATTGTACAGACTGACGTTTGGGGCACACATGACATAGGGGTACAGATTATGACATTGAGTGTAAAGACTATGACATTTGGGTGTACAGACTGACGTTTGGGGCACACATGACATAGGGGTACAGATTATGACATTGAGGGTACAGACTGACGTTTGGGCACACATGACATTGAGTGTACATAGTATGACATTGAGTGTACAGACTATGACATTTGGGTGTACAGACTGACGTTTGGGGCACACATGACATAGGGGTACAGATTATGACATTGAGTGTACAGACTGACGTTTGGGCACACATGACATTGAGTGTACATATTATGACATTGAGTGTACAGACTATGACATTTGGGTGTACAGACTGTTGTTTGGGGCACACATGACATATGGGTACAGATTATGACATTGAGTGTACAGACTATGACATTTGGTTGTACAGACTGACATAGGGGTACAGATTATGACCTTGGTGGTATGGATTATGACATTAGGGTGGCAAATGTATTTGGTTCACGACATACCAGCTGCTGTATCAAAGTTGTGGTGTTTGCATTCTTTATATTACAGTTGAATGACTAGTTAAGACCCAAGTGGTATTCAAATCTACCTTGGCAATGAATGGAATCAGTTGTACCACAAAAGTTAAAGACTTGTTCCCTGAAATCTGCTCAGGTACACAGTAATTTTCTCTGTAACAGCTAGCATAAATAACAAACCCAACATTTTTATAAGTACATATAATATATATTTGACTGTATAACAGTTAACACATACAGTAATAACAAATCAGAATGTATTACAGAAGTCTGCATGGCTTGTCACTTTATATACAAAACCGTCGTTCATGTGTATAACCTGTCCTTGTGTGAACTACATATACTTTTTAATTGCTGAACCACAACATTGCCACTTGTGGAAAATTCAAGAAAAATCAAGAAAAAATGAAACCATCATGATCAACCTTGCCATTTTCCAACTGATAAATACATACTTAATAATGCATATTTGTATGGTTCATGATGTTGGCAGAGTATCATGCCGCAAGTACATAGTATTACAACACAACAGGATGGCATGAACTACAAGATTTACTTAACTGTTGGGACATGCACTGAACAAGGCAGATAGCATCAATATTTGACTAGATGTATTTTTGTCAGGAAAAATAGTGAAAGTGAAAAATAAACTTAACAATTTTACACAGCATTACACACATACATCTATTATAGACATGTGTACAAGCTTTACAGCATTATACACATACTTCTATTATAGACATGTGTGCAAGCTTTACAGCATTACACAAGTACATCTATTATAGACATGTGAACAAGCTTTCCAGCATTACACACATACTTCTATTATAGACATGTGTACAAGCTTTACAGCATTACACAAGTACTTCTATTATAGACATGTGTACAAGCTTTACAGCATTACACAAGTACATCTATTATAAACATGTATACAAGCTTTACAGCATTGCACAAGTACATCTATTATAGACATGTGTACATGCTTTACAGCATTACACAAGTCATCTATTATAGACAGGTGAACAAGCTTTACAGCATTACACAAGTACTTCTATTATAGACATGTGTACAAGCTTTACAGCATTACACAAGTACATCTATTATAGACATGTGTACAAGCTTTACACACATACATCTATTATAGACATGTGTACAATCTTTACAGCATTGCACACATACATCTATTATAGACATGTGTACAAGCTTTACAGCATTGCACAAGTACATCTATTATAGACATGAGTACAAGCTTTACAGCATTATACACATACTTCTATTATAGACATGTGTACAAGCTTTATACACATACATCTATTATAGACATGTGTACAAGCTTTACAGAATTACACAGATACATCTATTTTATATGTGTGTACAAGCTTTACAGCATTACACAAGTACATCTATTATAGACATGTGTATAACAGCATTACACAAATTTAGTAATATACATATTTACACTCTTTACAGCATTGCACATAGAGTATATGGAGTATAGCTTGATATAGTACTGAGGCCAGAAGTTATACAATTATATTCAATACTGCAGTATAATGATGATGAAAAAGTACATGCATAACATTAAAATTTGAAAAAATAAATCTCAATGACTTTAAATAGCGTAAACAGATTCCCTATACCTTAAATGAATTGTTCCTCTTGCATCCCAATACACTTTTCTACTGTAACATAAACAGTTATTGATAGCATTCATGCAACTTAAAACATTCATGCAACTCAAATCAAGTGACCAATAATTACACATACAAGGGGTCGACTATACTCGTGCACCACTGTGATCACAAGGCAGGTCTGATTTTATAAATAATGCCGATGTTTAAATGTTATGTGCAATGGTGAATTATTACAACATTGATATTTCAAGTTGAAAACCAAACAAAAAGACTCCTTCAAAGTCTATATATGTCAAACCCAAAATAATGCAACCACAACTTTGTTCATTTATTGAATAAGAAATTCAACAGACAGAGGTACAACCTACCTACTGTTATATACATGAACTAATAATCAACATTTCCCGTTATTTCTTCTTTCCAAATGTTGCACCCTGATTTAGCATGTATATTTATCCCCTATGGCTATTGTTAACCCTTTCACCACTGTAGACCATAATGGACTCATCCAGATCAATGCATAGTAGAGTCTACTAAAGTTACATAGATCTAGAGGTTAAAGGGTTAAAGGTTATCCGTTCCCCACTGTCTGATAAAAGACAGGATCAGTGACACTTCTTTACATCTTTTTCCACGTCGTACTCAAATGCATTATATGTTGTCTGTACTGTATGTTACTTTGCAACAGAAAGAATTTGTAGATGTCATCCGACATTTTCTGGCGGGATTAATATCAAAATGACACAAATGAAACACTTGGAATGGACTTAAACTTTAGATGCAATTATCTTTATACAACTCGCTGTATACAGACCACATCTAGATCATGGTACCTTACAGTGCTAACTGAGATGAGAATTGCTTTCACAAGTTACCTTTATACACATGTACAAATACCATTACACATGGTTCACCACTAGATGTAACTGCACTTATCTCCGATATGCGAGTACCAAAAGTTTCCACTTAGATCATTCCAGTTTACACCAGTCATCTTATGAACACTTGTCATTCGGACGATTCGCAGTACCGGTAACCAGTTTACTTTAAGGTTGTAAAGGATGTCATCCAGTCATCCACAGATTTCCTAAGACCGCACAAAGTATGAGCCTAGGTCCTTAAAACTGTCCGTAACATCAGTCCTATGTTGGAGGTACTCATCTGCTCCTTACCAGTTTGATAACTTCATTCTCCTTTTTCTGCAATAATAAATTTTATCTGATATTGTTAAAAGCATTTACAATGGAAGATAATTTCTCCTCAATTAATAATGATATTGTTAAATTTACCCTTTCATCCCTGTTACTTTAGTAGACTTTTCCATCTATTGATATGGATGAGTCCATTATTGTCTACAGCCATGAAAGGTTTGATGATTTTAGCCTCCTTTATCAAAATTAGCTTGACAGTAATCTTTCAAACTTATATCATTTTTCGACCTATTTACTCAAATTAAGTAACGTGTAATTTCTCGCAGCCTTACTTATCTGTTTAGCATCTAATCTAATTAGCTGCTTATCTAGCAACCATCTTGTATTTTCAATCAGTGTCAACATCCAAAAGAACAGAAATTTGAGAAAGATCTGTCAAGGACTTCTTGAGAAATAGCAATAACCAACTTGAAGTGTCTAAATCCAAGACGGCTGCCTGCTCCCGATTGCTCAAAGGTTGGTAATTCAAATTTTTGCCAATAAGAATCAAAGGCTTTGAAAACAAAAGTAATCCACAAAAAATACCAATCTTAGTTTAGACTTAACTTTATTTTACTTGCATTGTTCAATCTTGTTTGTCTCTACCAATCTATAGCACTGAAATGATATCAGGGCCCAGTTGTTCAAAAGGTGATAAGCGCAAATTTTAATTTTTATGTAACTTTAAAACAAAACTATTGAATTAGGTACAACTTTCCAGATATCAAATATTTAGTAGAGTGAATTTACATGCAAAATTGTGTGATTGTATCTTGCTTATTGACGCAATTATTGAAGGTCGAAAAATGTTGTTAAACAGTGATGAAGCTAATCACCTTTTGAACAACTGGGCCAAGATGTTTTTGATATTGCTGTATTCATATTTTGAAAATTTCCCATAACCACTCGTTAACTCTAACCAATCTTTGAGCAACTGGGGCCTGGTGGCAATGTTCTTTTTCCTATCAATCTAAAAAGAATCATGTCAAAATACAGACCAGGAGAAACCTTTATATGACATTGAAATAGTTCTATCTTCTTTAAATAAAGCAACTCTTTAAGAATTGTTTTAGGACGGATGACAGACCGCAAACAAAAGACCACAGTTCTAGACGAAGGGAGATTTGAATAGTCCACCGCTTGATGATGGTCAGACAGTCAAAAACGTGTAACATCTCCGAATCACATTACAAGCTTGAGCATAGAAGGAATACCTGTTTATACATTGCATAATTTAAATTGATACTTACAGGTTTTTTCTCAACATCAACCTCAAATACTGTTCTTGAATTCCGAATTCTAAAAAGGATGATTAATCAACATATACACATACATTCTATTAAGGACACTTTGATCATTAGTCAACTGTTATCACATTTACATGTACCACACAAACTACCACTTGCAGAAATACAACCCGACTTAAATCTAATGCTTCACTTTATTCCTGTTTAATACACTTTTGTTGTAAAACTTTTATGTCAAAATATAAATGGCTGATACAAATCACAAATAAAAGCTGAACTAATAACTTAGCATCTAAAATGAAGACATCGCTTTTGAATTGTGAAATAGTCTTTAAAGACAGTCCAGTCAGAATTTGGTTTAGACATATAGAGTAAACTATCTATTACAGCAGCCTAACTTTTGATGAAATGGATGTATTCTGAATAGCTTCATTAAAAACGACAAATCTACCAGGTATCCCTATATCAGGACCTGGTGAGTTCAAAACTTACTGATATCCAAGTTTACGTAGCACTCGCCCAACAACTGCTCGTGTGATGGTAAAAATGGGGTAGTTAACTTTAAGAATATCCATTAAATCCACTACGGAAAAGTTCTCGTCCTTCCTCTCAAAATCCTCCACGATGGCCGTTATGGCATTTTCTGCCTCATTATCCATTGCTTTGCGTGTGGTCTTTACTATTTCTCCTCCAACACAACCTGAATATTTAAATCAAAATATGGGTACTACAGTAAAAACAGGTAAATTTAGATAAAAAGTGAAGAATACTCGAAAGGTGATAATATGTATGTATATGATTACAAAGTGTAGAATAAAGTATGTATATAAGTCTGGTGAAATAAGTAAGAAATGGGAATCAGCTGTATTGTAATCATGTGGTACTTATCATTATGTAACATACATATTAGTCTCCCAACCTACCCTGGTTCTTTATGTCAACATTTTTCAAAGAAAAATGTTCAGCCAATAATGAGGTCATAACATTTAAATTGGATTCTGTCATTTATATGAACAATGTTGATAGTCCTTTCCCTCAAATAGTCAGACTAAACAACTTTAATTAAAACTTTATGAACAATGTTGATAGTCCTTTCTCTCAAATAGTCGGACTAAACAACTTTACTTAAAGCTGTACAGTTCATTGCATAATATACAAAATTTTGTTTGAAGGCACAATGTATATGGAACTTTTGACCTCTATGACCAAACATCTGATTGAAGGTCATTTATTTGAACAATCTGTATAGCCATCTCAAGCAAACTATGGGACAAGCATGGCAAGTTTTTGACAGCGCTTCCTGTGTCGGACACAAAATGGCACTGAAGAATTCCACGTCTTGATATACCTTAAACTCACTTATTTCTAAACATGTTCTTCTATTGGTAAGTATGGATTGTAGGTTCATATAGCACAACCAGTTTAGTGTTCATATATAAGGTGACTATTGAAGTATATGCTTTAACAAGAGGCCCAGAGGGCTTGTATCACTCACCTGGATCTGTATGCCTAGCAGTGGTATTTATGGCTATAGAATGGGGATCGCAATAACTTCAAAGTTATGGCCCAGTAATTTAGTCTCAAGGGCTAGGGTTGGGGCCAGACACAAGAGTCAATACTAATATCATAAATGTGTTCGTCTCATGATGCCCAGCAATGGTATATTAGGTTATGGGGTGGGGATCTCAACTGTTTCAAAGTAATGACTCAGAAATCAAGTCCCTAGGGGTGGGGTCAGACCCCAGGGTAAATTATTTCATCATGATTGTGTATGTCTCTTAATGCCCTGTAATATAGGGTGGGGATCTTGATAATATCAAAATTAAAATTTCTATTTTGCCCCAACCCTCAGACCCTGAGGTCAGCTCTTCAACTGGTACAACTCCTCAACCACCAAAAAATGCTTCAAACCAAATATGGTCGATATTCATCACTGTTCCAGAGAAGAAGTCGCTTTAAGCAATATGGCCTGCCCCTCAGCCTCCAGGGGGGCAATATATTCAGTTAATACAAAATTGAATCCTCTTTGGCCACGGATACTCCAGGCCAAATCTAGTTAGAATCCACTTAGCTGTTTAGAACAAGTAGTTTTAAAAGATAAATCATAGACTGCCGATATGTGAAATCGTACACATATATTTCAACAAAAAGCCATTCAGATTGATACGTCTCGCCTATACCCCGCTTTGACCATCAATGCATATATCAGAGAAACAAACTTAAACACAAATAACTTGATGTTGATTGAGATACCTACAAAGCCAATGGACCACGAAAGGTAGGCCTCATCCAGCATTTGATGCATGGGTTGAGATGTACTACCTAAGATGCATCTATGGTCCAAGTTTGGTTGGTGTAGCACTTACACTTTCAGAGAAACTAACTTAAACACAAAAAGTTAATGTTGACGCCTTCGCCGCCAGCTTAGTCTCGCTTCCACTTCGTGGGGACGATACAAATATTGTCTGTGAGATTAAATAAAAAGCCTGCCCCCCTACCACCAATACTACAAATATTTTTACATGAATAAACAATGACCAAAGAAAACATTCTGTAAAAGTTATCACTGATTGTTATTGCTTATAATAATTCTTGTCACAAATCAATCTAATTCAAAAATGATTTTAGACAGCTTTTGTGTAAATTTAAACCAAATCTATTTAAGGGTTCATTATTGCTATTCCAGTAAAATATCTAATCCAGAGTTAATGGGGGTGGTGGTACTCTGGGTATTTTTAATTGGGACTACCAACAGAAGTGATTTATCCAAATTGGGTCATGGAATAGAGCTTGCTGTATATATTGACCACCCACATAAAGGACATATTGTTTTAAAGTATTTTTATCGTTCTTCTTTTATTAACAGAGGTGTTATCTCTTTTGAATTGATACGTTAATATCTTACTGCTGAGGAAATAAAATATCTCAAAACTTCTAAAAACACATAATCAAAAAAACACGCAAAAAAAAAAACAAGAAACAAAACAACAAAACAAAAGAAAACATGAACAGAACAGGGGTGTAATTTATTCTCAATGCACTTACCCAGGGAAGGTACACCTTTAAAAATTCATTAATTTTTTGTACTTGTCCTTTTAGTTCTATGTTTAATACATTGAACAACCAAAAAAACTATGCTTTTTATATATCAAAAGTGTAAGGTTTTGTCATTTCCTAGTAAAGTACATATTGGAACTTATCAATAATTGATTTTTCAATTGCAGTAAAGAACTTTCTTTTCCATTCCTGAATTTCGGGTCTGTATCTCTGCCCCGGTTATTAGTCACCTAATGCAATGACAGGCAAACCGTTGTCTTATTTTTCATGGGTAATCAAGTTTTAAAGAAAGTGAGATACTTAAATATCTCTATTTCATACATCAGTTGCAATTTATGGTGTTCTTATCAGCCTTACAGACCGTGATTTCCCTACATTCACCAAGTGGTACAAAATTGTTTTTTCTCTCAACACTAAAACACCAACATGCATAGAATTTCTGTATTTTGCTGTCCAGGGGTTTGGTAGATATTTTACTGGAATAATCCTTAGATATCTTGTGCAAAGCTTTTTACTTCAAAAGAGATAAAAGGTGACCTTTGACCCTTGAACCTTAACCAAAGACTACCAAAATCTAATCAAGTGTAGAACATTCGACCTTTAGCCATGAGAGTTGACCAAGATAATTTGTTTTGATATTTATAAACTTTCATCATTATTTTTTGCAAATTAAAGGACGTATATTATGAATTCAGGTTTCATTGTTCTGTAGCTGTCCTTCAAAGATAAAGCTGACCACAGATGAGGAACCATATTGGCATATTAACTTTGTACCAGGCAAGCTATTAATAAAGTATCAAACCAAGTTGAATTGATTACTTCAACTTTAACAAGCTAACTTCGTAATTATCAAAAAATAAACTCACGCTTGATAGCAATTTCTTTTTCATTTACAAGACCCAATTTCTTCTTCAATTGGCGTGTGGGCAGTCCTGAAACAAGAAGAAACTTTGAAATCTGTTCCAAAACTTGCACACTGGTATGGCTAAAAGCATGTTATTAAATAGGCTTTATTCAAACAAGGTATCATAGAGCAGTACTGTTTCCAGCAATCAATGCTGAAGTCGAGGTGAAATGTTTGAATTTTGATTTAGAGGTAATCGTGTGTTGCAGAAACCATTTTTTTCTTTATAGTCAGAGTGACCTTAACCTTCGACCTTCAGGCCTGCAAAGCAACACCTGTTTTTATTATGAATTTCCCTTCAAGAATCTGTGTATCGAGTTTGAGTGTTACCAGCCCATTGTAACTCAAGCTATTGAATGGAAACCAATCTTCTATCTATAGTAATATATGTAACGACTAAATGGCCAGAAATGGATCAATCTTCCGTACATACATATGGGGATACCAGGTCCGTTTATAACAGGTGGGTTGCTTTAATAGTAGAACCCTTCAGAGGTATATTTGTTACCGAGACTGGACCTGTATACATACTGCTCAGGGTAGCGCAGGCTGCAGGCATCTGGTAGTTCAGCATTTTAGTCTAGATATGGTATAGCCACCCAGTATAAACTGTAAAAGCCTCACTTCAAATCAAACCTGTCCCTCTAACTCACTCACTTTTAAACATGATTTGTTCTTCAAATTAACTCACCTGTCACCTCATCTGACCAGTTCAACACACCTGTCACCTCATCTGACCAGTTCAACTCACCTGTCACCTCATCTGACCAGTTCAACTCACCTGTCACCTCATCTGACCAGTTCAACACACCTTTGGCCTCATTATTGGTCATTAACAATACTATTACTTAATATGTCCTCAACTAACTTAACTCATTTGTACCGACATCTTATCTGTATAACTCACCGGTATCCACATCTTATCTGTATAACTCACCTGTATCCACATCTTATCTGTATAACTCACCTGTTTCCACATCTTATCTGTATAACTTACCTGTGGCTTCACTTAATCTCTTCATTGGATAGGCTAAGTTGGTTGCACTTCCTGATCTCTCCTCGGTTTGAAAATACTCATATACATTCTTGACCATTTCATCCATCTATTCAACAAATAAAATACCTCATGAAAATTCCATAGATACACAGAAAAAAAATATGATTATTACTTTTTTTTTTAAGGGACAAGTTAGTGAAGTAAGTTTTTTTCATAACCTTGTCACAAAAACCTTCATGATTATATAGTTTGGTACTTCTTATGAACAATTCATGTCAAGAAATTGACAAGAGACAATGTTTTCTTGGCGTTTTTTAATCAGTAATGGAGAAATCCTTTACTGTACAGCCGTACGTTTTAACGGCAGCTGTCGGTGAATTTCAAGCTAACAAAAATGTCTTTCCAGCCGAGGAGAGAAGATAACTTCTCGCTTTATTCACCTTACCTCTCAGAATACAAGCATATATGCATCTATTCTGAATCAAAATCATCTTCCAACAGCATCTAAAATATCATTATAAATGAGTGATCTATTTTACGTTTAAACCTATTGATATCGTATTTTCTGCAGTTTGAAATTCTCCCTGCAGCACACTCTCAGTGTGTGCATGCTTTAATCCAATTGTGAACAGAAATACCTGATAAGAGGTAAATATTATGTTACTTATAATTCTTACTCGCAATGTATTGTGTAAATTCAAGAATGTGTTATGTGTGAACTCAGACTCATAACTGACACTGTGTTGACAGAAGACAGCGTAGTGCTGTACATGTTAACTTTTCACTGAAAGGCCCGGATATTGCGCTATTCGGTCATAGCTATTTTTATCACCAGCTTTCCCAAAAGATGAAACTGACCACACTGGACGTTGGCTTCAGGTCATGTCATTATCAACTACGTTAACATTTATGAGGAGATAAATATTTTCAGTATCAACTTGATTTTCAGGTATTCAAAAAAACTTACTTCACTAAATTGTCCCTTTAACAGTGGGTGAAAATTGATTTAATGGGCAAATGTCCCTGTATACAGTAGTAATTTATCTTGGTACATCAAATATAACAAATTTATTGTTCCTTTTTCAATTCTGCAATCCTTGGCATGCATCACATCCTGGTGATTTTGTATGAAACAAGCATCCTCATTGAGAAGTACAACACTACACTGTTAGTGAACCTGGGTTGTGTGATATAAATATAAGTCACTAGTCTTATACCTTTTTTTATCAAAATATAAAAGATTTAAAGTCAATGGAAAGTTTACAATTTTGAAATATCTAGAGTAGTTCTGCTGTCTCCCAGATGGGAAAATTTAGCGTCAACTCTGTGTATCTATATTTTCTTACCATGCTGCTATCTCAAGACTTCCTCCGATAAAATTCACAGCATACTTAAATTCTGAAGCTGCTTCAATTTTATCATGTATGCTGCTTAAATAGATAAAGCACAATTCAAAAAATTCTCAAGAGAACACTTTTTGAGGCAGAAAAATGAAACAAACTCTTGCATTATAGTAACTTACAGTAAGTTCCACTTTTTCTTTCAGCTTTTCTCTGATGCGGTTGGCTGTTCGAACCAGGTTGGCATGTAGAGAGCGACTGCATTCTGTTACATCCCCTTCAGCATTGTCAAGTAGCACGGAGTTGACTACAGATGGACCAGTATCCAACATGTTCCGCTTCGCCAACATCTTAACCTGTGTTACAACTTGTATCAATCAACTCTAGCCCTATAACCTGGTTTGATATACCATAAATAGTTCTTCTGTTAATGAAAACAGCAGTTTCATCAATTATTGTTATTCTAGACCTGAAGTTAAGACATCAACAAATGTTAAGAAAAAGGCTATCTATTTTACCCTAACCAGATTGAGTGCGATTTAAAAAACTTTCTTCCAACTTTTTTTTGTAGAAGAAGAATCCTTCTTTTCGCCAACTAAAACTCTAACCAGACTCGGAACCACAAAAGTAGTGGTCATACAAATTTACTTGATCTGTGACTCAATTTATGACCTTCACCTTGACATAAGGATCCTCACAAAATGACACCTGTCCAGTAATAGCACATCGGTGACTAAGCATTTAACTGAACTGTCAGCAGTTCAATTTGTTTACACCAACTCTTAACACAATTTTGTTTAACATTCATATTTAAATTTGTTCATGAATTTTGAAAATTGTTTGACACTTATTTGAAGAAAAATTTCAATCTGCAACAGTCAGCAGTGTGCACAAGTTGTTATTTCTTATGTTATGTATTAGAAACTCCCTACTGGAGTCATGATCTCATACCTTCCAACAGGATTTGTTTCACTTATGTGGGTATAAAATGGAAATGTAAGGCTTTAAGTAGATTGGAATCATCTTTAATGGTATGCTATGGACTAGAAAAAGGTGTCATAACAGTACAAAATCTGACAATGAGAAATGTTGGAATACCTGTTTCCTGATCTTGACTTGCTGAAGACCATCTGGCTTGGGTAAGTGTCCATGTGGTTGGTCGTTGCGGATAAAAACATCATCACCTTCCTGTACAACACCAGCACCACAGCTGTATTGCCTCCCTCTCACAGCACATCGCCAGTACATCTTTTTGACTCTGGTGGATTTTTCTTTTTTTCCCTTTGATTTTTAAAGAAAACACTAGTTTAGGAAGACAGCAATTTTTTTCAAACAAGAGGCCTTACGTTATACCTGTGTTTTATTTATTAGAAAACTCTTCTACCTGTTACTTTTAATTGTTGACCAGTAATGAACCATCATAGAAAAAGCATTAATTTATACCGACGGTCAACTGATCTTATCTGACAGATAATTTCTCAGAGGCCTAGAATCATATCTTTGATCAATTATACTTTTTGTTTAGATGAATACATACATCATATCTCTCTAAGGATAACAAAATGTCAGATCCTACCTTTTGTTTCCCTCTTCTCCTTATCGTGATATTTGAAGTACGACGAAGAGTGTAGCCATATCCCAGGCTATCCATCAGCTTAGGAAGGCCCCTCTGTGAAGCAGACTCGATCACTTCAAACGTCAAAGGCTTCGTAGATGAAGCAGCTCTAAAAATGGAGGAAATCATCAAATACTTTATTGAATTTCATTATCAGCATTATTTTATATATAGGTCAAGATAATAGGGTCTTAAACCATGAATAAAACTTGACATTACCCTTTGACCTTTGTGACAAACAGATATTACACAATGGCAAAGCACTATTTCATATGTTTGAACTCGGTGATTTGTCAGAATATAAATATAAAAGTTGAACTGTCACTCTTTCTGTAGCATAGCGCCGGTGCAGAGTCCGTACCGGAGGTCCTTTATACTGGGTTCGCCCCCGTACTTGTGATATCTGATACTGTACCACCAAGTTTTGAGAAAATGTAACGATAAATGAAAGCCCATATTAGCTAGTCAGACATACACCTACAAAACCATTTTATGTCTCGCATTGAAAAGGAATGAAATTACAAGACCAGTATAACATGTGATTGACACATACATTGTAATGATGGTTACTGCTGAAGTTTACTGGATATAGGATTTATATGCTGATTACAGTATAACACTTTCCTGACAAAACCACAGTGTTCTCTCCAGCTTGTTTTAACAGCAGACCCTAGGTCATGCTCCTTTATTTTCCCCAAGTTAATGTATTGCTGTCCTGAATCTTCTACATATTCACAATAAAATTAATACCATATTCTGTTTCGAGCTAAATAGCATCAATTAACCCTTAGGCTGCTACATTGATTTCCATGTAAAGGGACACCACTGCTGAATTAATTATTGAAATATAAATTAATTTACTTGATTTTTCAAATGTGCATAACTTGAAAAATATTTGTTATATGTGAATAAAAGTTATATGAACTTGGTTCGTTATTGTCTCTAGTTTATATTAACGTTTTCAATTCTAAAGTTGCTTCATTATTTTTGTCAGCAAATGTGATTGGCAAATGATAACAGAGATTATAAACTTCATTTTTGACATAAGACGCTGTACATTTACAAGGGGATTCTCAGGTAAAAAGGTCAGGTATTTCATCAAGAATTGCATGTGATTTGCTACAGGTTTCAGGTTGTCATTCAATATATTTACTGTCACAGTCAGCATATAGATATATCTTAGCTAGTCTAGTTTATGATTAAATCATCGATAAATAGTTTGAAGAAATCAATCGGCTTAAAATGTATCAATGTCAATGTTCAATTCAGCCTCACCTGCAGACGACATGTGCGCCTCGGTTCGCCGATATTTTCCTGTTTGTATAGGGCACAAAGCCGTTCACCGGAAAGTTACATATTATGTTACACCGAAGTATTTCCATATCAACCATGTCAAACCCTTCAAAACCTTTATTATCATCGTAGGTGACTCTGGAGAATAAATTTTTACCATCATATTCATCGCTTCAATCTAAACGTCCGCCATTTTTATGCCATTTTTTTCTATTTGAAATTCTCTCGCACACCTTTGGTCACTACTAGGGTACACTGCCAGGAATATCGAAAGTAATGACAAAACAACCAATCAGAAGCCTTCCACTATACACGTTCGGGTTTGGTATAGCAACAACCCGACTTGACACTTCCTGGCTACCGATCAAAACCTACAAACGAAAAACGGCAAATGCCGTGCATAGCACTGACGACCTGACTTTTCAAAACGGCATATGCCGGGCGTAGCAGCCTAAGGATTATGTTATTAATGTGTTAGGAAACCAGAGAACCCGGAGAAAACCCATGTTGTTTGGCAGGGTACCCCACACCTTTTCACGTTGTATCGGGGAAACCCCCAGCTGCCTTGGTGAAAGGCAAGTGCGCTATCCATTGTGCCACTCAACTACCCATTGTTTTAAATAACATATCATATTTCTCTTATATAATTACAACCCTTCAGACATTTTCTACGTGTATTATTTATACACAAGTGATGATAACTTACTGAATAGCCATAATAGATGACGCTGCAGCAATTTCCCCTTCACCCATTTCACTAGGTGTACTATAGTCCATGGGCTGATCTGTACTTTGCTCCTCCTCCCCCTCTGGTTCGACTTTCTGAATACCGTACTGGGGTTGGTTTGCAACTCTAAATCTGGTCACACGTTGTTCCTCTGTAGCTGCAGTGTCTATCACAATACTGCATGGAAACAAAACGTGTAAATAAAAGCAGCGTAACAAAAACTAGCTGATGTGTGTAATATTTGTTCAGTATTAGAAATATATAAAGTCAATAAAATATGTGTATGCATAATTCATTGTACTTTTTTTTTTTAGTTTAAATGTAAAATATAGGACAAGAAAAACAACTTGAGTATGTGTATAAAATTATAAACATATGCAAAATATAAAAAAAAGTTCAGAATTTTGTGCACTAGTGCTGGGATTCGGTCCAATTTTGAAGATCGATTATCGGACCATCAAGACCGATCGATAATCAATTATCGGTTGAGATATGCGCCAAAAAGAATACATGTAAGAAATGGACATTGTGTGAAATAAATCAATAAAAAAATATTGATATACACTGTAGTTCGTGAAAAGAATCCAATGTATCTACAAGACACCCATATGATGAGAATTTATTTTGGATTATTCAAGACAAAAACATGAAAAACCATCGTATGTATCTTAAGAATTTTATTTCTTCATGTCAAATCTACAAAAACGATCTTCTTCATGACAAATTATCAAAATCGATCTTTCATGTGCAAAATCGATTATCGAATCTGTCTCATGTCAAGATCGATCTAATCGATGTTTTCGGTTATCGGTCCACCACTATTGTGCACAGAAGAATTTTCTTAAAAAAGTGATAATAGAAAATAAAATAGCAACCAGCAGCTGCAGGGGTTCATCTAGCTAGGTCTAGTTTGGGGAGTATGATAGCCAAAGTCCGAGACATTAAAATGGTTCTTTTACAAGTGCTAGAATGATATAAAAGGGCAATATTTTGTCAAACTATACGCCTTTCTTGATTTTGATATAATTTATTTTATTAAAGGAAATATTATGGTCATGGAAGACTTATGAGAAAGCTTACACTTCTTCATTGACATGGTCTGGTGGTATGACAAGGTACTGCTCTGTGCTGCTGCCTGCAGTGGGGATAGGCCCACTCTCACTTGCATGAAAAGCCTTGGCAATCAGAGACTGGACCTACATAATACAAAACATGTACGGATATGTACACAAACTGTGTAACTGTACTTAAACATTGTACACATAAAATCTTACCTGTGATACAGGTATAACTCATTCAACAGTGTAACAAAATGCTTCCATTTTGAATAGGTATCTAAACCTACAGTGTGTAGAGGTTCTATTATCAATCAGGACTAGTTATACATGTATATTAATTAGAAAGGAATCCTTCAAATATTTCAAAATAATTTTACAATTTCCTTTTAATTCTTTTTCTATTACAATATATTTTGCAGATCATATTCTTATTTTATATATTTTTTATTCTGAAAGTGCCATATATAAAACACTTGTTAGGAAGGGAGGTAACTCATACAGCCCAAATATTACTCTACTAAGAACCCTGTACCACTGCCGAAAAATGAAATTATGCATTCAAAGCTTATTTTTCTAGCATGTCTTAGCTTTTATAAATCATTTTTGAAAAGAAAAGTATACCTTGCGGGACTTTAATGAAAACACAATCAAGATGAAATAAACAAAATACAATCAACAAACATGTTCTGGGTGTAAAATATTCTAGGTAGCGAGACTGGGATTCGAGCCCTGGACTTCAGATTGTTAAACCTTGACAATGGTAGTGTGCTTCAGTTTGTCTTAACAGAAGTTAAGGGGAGGTTACTGTATATCAGAAAAACGGCAGTGCAGCGAGACAGGGATCCTTGAATTTGATATACTTATAGCATCACCCAGTGCCTTGAAACATTGGATAGATGTGGAGCCCCATTGCAAACAGTATGAATGAGTAATCACTGACAGCTTTTATTAGATAAACAGTCTAGCTGACTGGAAGTGTATCATGACATTAATTTAAAACAATTAAAACAGAACTCTGGAAACTAACTTAAATGTACACCTGCAGCAAACACGTTATTTTGATTTAAGGATTCCGCACCACCGATAGCCATACCCGTTAGGACTTTTATGACAAAATAATTAAGATGAAATAAACACATTATAATCAACAACAGTGTTCTGCAGGACTTAACCAGGATCAGAACCCTGGACTTCAAATTGTTATACTATATATCCCTCTAACAGATTGAGCTGTACGTGGTCAACAGAAGTGTCCTGACCTAGCTGTACTACAGTTATAGTCACACCGTGAAGTGGAACAGGGTCCGTCCTCTAGTCACCCATTATTTCGAACAACCTACTTTACTTATCAAACAACTTCAATTACCAAACTGCAAATGTTAACCATTGACATGTCTCACTCTGATGCTCATGCCGTTATTACACAAGGAAAAAAGTTTACTTAATTAATTTTTGCGATCGAATAGATTAATTATACCTCTGCAGATTGAACCTCCATCTTTGCCTCCATCCAATTTTCTGCTTCTGATTGTAACTGTAATATTCTGTAAAGAACAACAAATACAAAATTTAAAAAAAAAAAAACTCTTCAATTTCCCCTTTAAACATCAGTGCAAGCTGGATGCACTAATAATAAGTCTGATGTGCGTGTAAATTAAAATATATGAATCATCCCTGGGCCAACGAGGTTCATTGTTGTATATATATATGAAAGCTAGGGCAGGGGCCAAAAAAAAAATACACTCTAGTAATACAGAAGATTGCATATGATCTCATGGTATCAATTGATGATTTTTTTTGGACCTTGCAATTAGAATTCCAACATCATCAAGGCGTTTTCAACTCTGCTTCTGTTCTAGTACTAATATTAATACCCGGCCTCCTCTGCCCAGGCGCAATACATAAATAAATATCTTGTCAGAAAGCTACGTTACTGCAGATACTTCTGTTCCACGAGTTCAGGCCACAGGTGCTCGCGGGTTCCTGGAATTTATGTGATATATGATTATCGCACCGACTAGATATCGCACCCCCTTATACAAATTACATAGCCATATTATAGGTGCGATAATATATCACATATATTCCAGAACCTGAGCACCCGTGTATTCAACCAGTGAATTTGCTGAAATTTGACTATATTCTATAAGATCTAATTATTTCATCAGAGAATAACTCACCATATATGCCATTTTAAAGAGTTTTACCTATGGGCGAATATACACATATTTTATTTATGTTTTAGTTTTGACACTGTTGAATAAGTTCAAATGGAATTCTCAAAGGGTTGGCAATGCAAGTTATAAGTGACAAGAGACGTTTATATTACAGAGATAGGTAAGTAAAATCGATATTGGCCTAGTTTCTTCTTTCAATATTATAATCTGCATGAATACCATTTCTGGTGTATAATAGAAGTTGTACACATTAAAAAGTGTATGTCATCTTCTTCTTCTTCGTTTACAAGGATCAGTAAACTCCAAGGTTGGAGTGCAATCGACCAGACATATTATACGTCTCTGAATTGACCCTAGGAGGTGGCATTTCAAAGAATTTATTTTTTTGTAATTTTTAGGTATTATATTAAAATTATGTACATATAACGAGGATGTAAAATTAGTAAAGAGACTGGTGGTAATCTTCAAGTGAGGATTTGAAAGAATGTAATTCCTCACTAAGGTGAAGAGAGAATTTGTAGGCGTCTTTTGCGGTAGTAGATATTGTGTTTATTTGATGTGCCCCTCTTGTTCGCCTGTCACCTGATGTCCAGTATGATGATGGGTTAATTTTAACGATGTAATGCGAGATCTTGTATATATAGCATTGACAATCTAGCTTTTGCCCTTCCTTGTGATTAAGATTCCCAAACTATTGTTTTCATCCCAGCTACAATAAAAGTGTCATGCTTTCTGTCTCTACAATTAGGTACAATGAGGTAACAATAATGTATTACGTTCATAATCTAGATCTAAATTTTATTTCTCCTTCGTCAAAGTCCAGTTCAATTTATCCGGAAGATGCACAAGTAACACAAGTCACTGCGAATGTGTCATGTTACTTGATGGTTTAATGCAGATACTGTAAGTATCGATGAATGTGTTTCAAACATGACATACTCTGAAAAACAATCTATAAAAACACATGTATTTTGGGACAAGTGGTCAAAATATAAACAAGACCGACTTGACTGGCAGTTTCGTGGAGTCAACTCGTGTATCAAAAAAGTCCACTCGTCAAACACATAAATTACCGCTTATACCAAAATGTTTTCAATACGCTTTTAACTTTTCATCACAACTGAATTGATTGATACAAAATGTAATAACCTTGACGTTACATTTCAGTTTATGATCACTTACCGACCACAAAATCAACACAAACAATAGAGCGAAGTGTCTTCGCACGAGTTGACTAATGGATGCGCGCCTCGTTTCGGAATATAAAGCGTCTTCGGGATTTTGATTTTGGCGGGATCGCACGGTATTGCAAGAAAAGTGTACTTATGTAATAGATCCGTGTTCTAGCACGCATCTCCGTCCAAATTGAAAAGTCACAAACTCGGAAGTAATTTTCACTGCACTTAAACATACTTAGAGCGAATTTAATTTGGAAACTAGAAAACAGTATGAATTTCGATTTTGTTATTCAGTTTTTGCCGACATTAGAACCAAATTAACTTGAAGCAAAGGCGTATATTACAGAGATTGGCAACTTGCTCCTTACCTTACATACGGTTTAGTTCGCTGCATTCAATAATCCTGTCCTGTTCAAAACATAATTGTGCCATGAGAAAACATAGAAAATCAACGTAATAATAAACAGCTGTAGCTAGCTGAGATTTCCATGCGGTTTGGGAGTGCTCCATTGAATGTAAACTTGGATGATTAAATAATTTAGAAAACATCAAAATTGCACATCGTGTCGGTGTTTACATATCGGTAATGATTCTGGCTTCAGGAGAACCCAATTCCGTTTTTGATCTTTAGAAAATTTCAAAAAATTCTTCAGAAATTCATTATTTGATAATATTACTAACCAGGTTCTTAAAATGAGGTTATTAAAAAACTTATAATTGAGGTCTGAAAATGCAGGTTTTTAAGAATAAACAAGTTAAAATTGTGGCTGTGATGTGTGAGGGTTATTTCTTTCATGACACCACGGAATTAGATTAGGTTATCCAAGTCCGTGATGACACATTAGAACACGAACCCCCTTTTTTTTTTTTTTTTTTATTAATTATTCAATTTCAAAAACATCTTCAGATATAAATTATTTGATAGTGTTTCTTGCCAGCTTTTTCAAATAAGGTTTTTATGTTTTTATAAAACTTGCGAAGTTTGATAATTGAGCTCTGAAAATACACTTTTTTTTAAAGTAAAAATGGCGGCTGTGATGTGCGAGGGTTTCTCGTTCATCAGTTATTCAATTTCAAAAACGTATTCAGATATTACATAATATTTCTAACCAACTTCCTAATATGAGCCATATATGTCTAGGATATGTGACATGTTGACACGAACTAACGAATACACGATCAAATTCTCACAGGTAACACATTGACCAGACTATCGTCGCCAGCTAGGATCGATATCATTTTGCTTCGACGAGTGCTTTTAGCTGACTGTCAAAACAAACACTCGTAGACCCGGTTCCGCGTGGTTGCGCAGCCGCAACCCAAGTCCAAGTCTCGCGGCGTATCTTATTTCACGGCGTATCTTATGATCATGCGTGTTTTTGCGAGATCTGCGTGAGTTGCCAATCTCTGTAATATATACGCCTCTGCTTGAAGCCTGTGTATATAGTTTGTCGACATAATTATTTTAAAAACCAAATTAAGAAGGGGAAAAAAATGTTCGATAAAATCAATAATGCTTAAAACCCTTGTCACACTAGGGCCGCATTCCCACGGCGTCCAAGAAAAATCAAGAACGCCGGTCTGCGCGCAGTGGAATCGCAAGCATCGCCGCGGCAACGCAGTGGCATCGCCAGTGAACGCAGTGGAAGCGCCGTGAGAGCGCCATGAGAGCGCAGACAATCGCCAGCTAGAACTCCGTAGGAACGCGGTATAACGCCATGGAGCTCCGTAGAAACGCCATGGTCGCCGAGGTGACATCGCCATCTTCATGAAAAATATTTTTAAAAAAACTGCGATCTCATGGCGCTCTGGGAAATTTAACAACACCGTGCAATCGCAGTGGTAACGCCGCTATGTGTGACAGGGGTTTAACTTAAGTTATAACACTGTTTTATGATAATGTCAAGTTTTGATTGTTATTTGTCAAGTAAATGTTTTAAATCGTGGAATCTTATCAAAGCCATGATCCCGTGATCTCCATTACCGACAAATTATGAGATCTAGCTACAGGCGAAGGGGAATAAAAAAATGTTGCAATAGTTTTAAAATGTTCAAAGTAAAACATTTTCCTGTCCGCGATAAAAAAAAAATGGAGGAAAATTTATACCATTCCCTTCAAAATTAGTAAAAACACAAAACTACAGTGGCTTCAATTTAGAATCAATCAACATATTTTAACTACTAATTCATATCTTTATAAAATAGGTCTTGTTAATAGTCCATATTGTTTTCATTGTAAAACTGACACAGAAACTATAGTTCATGCATTATGGGAATGTTAAGAAGTACAAGTGTTTTTAACAGATTTTAAATCATTGCTAGATGTGTTATTAATTCCATTTGCTTTTAATAAAGAATCTTTTATCTTTGGTTTCTATGATAGAAAAAACAATGTTGATAATTTAGTACTTTTTATCATTAAACTATATATTTATAAAGCTAGATGTCTGCAAACTGGTCTATCAGTTTTAGCTTTGAAAAACTTAATTAAAGATATTTACAATACTCAAAAATACATTGCTGTAGGTAATGGTGAACATTATCTCACTAATTTTAAAAGGGAATGGTAAAAATGGGAAAGATTACTGCAGGCCATATAACTGAGATGTAAATTTATTATAATATTATAGTACCAATGTACAAAAATTTACACAATATTGAACAATAAGCCCTTGTCAAATCCTTCGACACCTCTCCAACCTTCCTTTTCTTTCTTGTCCCTCTCTCTCTTCATTACTCTTTTCTTTCCTATGTCTTCTTCTAAAACAGTACAATGGTACATAACACCTAATATCCTGGTTTCAGCATGGGTTTTTTTCTGGGGGTTTTTGTATTTGTTTGCTTCTCAACTACAATGCATATAATATTATTCTATGTATCTTGTTTCAAACTTATAGAGAAAATAATTGTTTTTCTGCATTGGTACCCAAATCAATGTAATAATATTAGAATGTTAAAAAAATGTCAAGACAAACAAAAAACTTGTGTGAAAATTAAGAATGTGAGACTGAAATATGATGTGTTATGTTTAATGTACTGTTGAAAAAAAAAAAAAAAAAGGAAAATTGATCAAGAAAAAACCATTTCACCGACAAATCATTCCCATAATAACTGAAAACTGGGGGTTTATTGTTTAAGTTGAGTATGCATACACTTGCTAGTTTGCCTTTTGACATGATTAAAAAACTTAATACTCTTGGCAATTAGGCCTAAGACCGACTTGATTTTCAACCATAACTGAGTTAACTTGTCACTGTGCAGAGCTTAATTTGGTGGAGGTCATGATGCAGTCCTGCAGCATAGATTTCAGCAAAGTTATAGAAACCCTGGCTACAATGCATAATTCATAAAAAAAAACCTGGATCTGAATTTACCAATTTACTGTGACATATTAATCTTATTAACCAAAGCCTAGAATGTTTGTATAGGATTTTACTATTTGCAACAGATACTTCACTAGTTCAGCACCCATGCAGGTCGGAGAATGAGAAAAGAGTACACCTGCTGTTACCCACGGCATGATCGCAAGAGGCGACTAATGTGGGGAACCCCCGTGTGTAATTAAGGATATGCATTTGTGCCTTCTACTTTGGGACATATAAGAGGCTAAAACAAATCTGCTGCGCCCATTGCTATATTTGGGATCTTTGTATTTCTCTCTGCTTCTTACTGTTACACTTCTGTTGCCTAGGGACTTCGCGACCCTTGGCAAAATCTCAATTTTGGCTTAATGTTGAACGTTCGCCCAGGTGAGGAAGGCAATGAGACCTGTCCTAATGCCCATGCCGGGACATACAAAAGTCCTTAAAATGGTATTTGTTATTCTTTGCTTAACGTTCAGTATTTAGGGTAATGTCAATAATATGACCGCGAAGAATGCTGTGCTGGGTGCCATTGGCATGGTATTCCAGTGAGATAGCACTGTAAAGTCGCATCAGATCCGCGCTATCACAAAGAGGCAATTCTTACACACATGCATACATAAAAACACACGTTAAAACATCCAATCACTATTAGTTTAAAACGATGTCCACAGATGGTTTGGCCACTGGAGGGCCACCCGATGTGCTCTTACTAAAATGTCATAATCTGGAAACGATACCACATATAGCACCAAACCTGTCCGACAACACAGACTTCGATTCACTTTTGAATTATTATGATAACTGGCTAACCAGAGCTTCAACCTTGCTCGATACTGTAAGCCGTATAACAAAGCATAGCGGATACAATTGTATATGTAATATAAAAAAAAAAATTATGACCGGTGCCATGTGTCCAGGCCTCGAGCTCACGATCTAAGGCACCTACCAGCCGAGAACTATCACTGGCTTTGACCAGAATTTATAACACGATGACCATACAAACGGGCGGATTCTTCACCATCCTTATTGTATTTATCTTAGCCTCGCTCCATTCAGCGTTCAGTATATACTAGAACATATGAACAAATAAAAATAATCAACAAAAAAATGGAGACAGAAACAAATGTATTCATAATGTTCGGATTAGGTTAATTAGTACTACTTTATTAATACCCGACCTCCTCTGCATAAAAATGTCTCGTTGTGACTGTCAGAAGCTACGTTATCGCAGCTAGAGGGCTATGGCCGTAGCCTTGGCCAACCGATTATGTAAATTAAAACTAGGATCCAGCGGAGAGCGGGAAGGCCAAAACGCTCGCCCCCTTTTTGTCCATAACAGGGACAGTCAGTTGACGAAAACTATCTCGAAAATATCCGGGGGTGGGAGGTGGAGGTTGGGGGGTACAAAAGATGTCAACGGTGAAATAAATCTTTCTTCAGTCTAAGGTCACGAGATGAATATTTCAAACGTTTGGTAGATCTCTCTGCATGCATCACGTTAACGTTTATTTACAAAAGAACTTATCAGGGGCGGGTCCAGGTGAGGGCTTAATGAGCGTCTTTTCAAAAAAAAAAAAAACTATCGTAATCTGCTAATATTGTATTGAATATGGCAATTTATCATATTCATTAATTAAACACATAAACACCCTGACATTTTAACTATAAAATATACATGCTCCAAGTCAGGAACCGTTACATTAGTGCATTTCACAAT